TAAAAATATTTAAAAGCTATATAATAAAATACGTTGACTCTCATAATTCTATTAGGCTCACATATATTGGGACAAAAAAAATAACACATATCATTTTAAAATTACCAAAAAAGTATTATAAATAATAATAATTAACAACTTAAAATATTTGAAAGACATTTTAAAAGGGTTAATTTTGTAATTTTATTCATATCACATAAATTAGGACAAAGTGACCAGTAATGTACGTTATTTGAAAGTTACATAAAATATTATAAATCACAATAATTAATAACTTAAAACATTTTTAAAAAAAATATGAAAATTTGGATGACTCTCCAAATTTCATTTGTGTCACATAAATTGAGACAACACAAATAACATATATTGGGTCCATTTTAATTTATTTGTCTTATTTTTTATTTTTTTTATATTTAAAAATTGCGTAAAAATACTATAAATCATGATAATTGACAATATAAAATATGTTTTGAAAAAAATACAAAAAATTTCACTGATTCTTAAAGTGAATCTATCGTAAAAATACTATAAATCATGATAATTGACAACATAAAATATTTCAAAAATATTATATGTGGGTAGTCTTATTATGCCTTAAATAGCGTCAAAGAAAGTACATATTTGTGATAAAAAAAACTTATTCCTCTATCCACGCAAACAATCGCTTCAAAAACTCGGTTATTAGCCCCAAAACATACCATTTATATTATGCACGGCCAACATTATCTAGTATATATATATATATGATAGGCTAGAAATTTTTAATTTTTAATTAATTTTATTATTTTTACTTTAAAATATGTGTTTATAAGCATTTTTTTATTTTATCCAAACATTTTAAAATTGTTTAAAAGTTATTTTAATTTAAAACACACATAAAAATAAGTCAATTTACACATGCTCTAAATAACTAAGCTTCCATAGGATCATTGTTTCAGATTGATATCTCATTTGGGATTATCATTTCAGATTCCAAATTCATTCACAATAGTTTGTCGCTAGGAGTGTTCATGGGTCGATTTTGATCGGTTATTGGTCAAAATCAAAATCAAATCAACTTAATCGGTTTTAAAATTATCAAAACCAAACCAAACCAAATATAATATACATTTATCGATTTGGTGGTTATCAGTTTCGGTTTGGTTTGGTTTGGTTCGGTTATTAACCATATACAAAAGTAAAAGAAACAATTCATTCAAAATGTGAAAAAAGTGACAACAATCCATTCAAAACGAAAAATAGTTAGAATGACTTAAATTACTGAACTTTCGATCACTAAATTTACTATCAATAAAACTTTAAAATTCACTATATTGGCCTAGAAGGAAGAGACAATAACATTTTCAGTCCCACAAATAATTGTCATAGACACTCATATATATGAAATCAATAAGATAAATGTTTTCATCTTGGGCATTTTTGCTTTCAATAAGTAAATTATAAAGAATTTTTAATGAAAATATATGTAAGATCTTTAAAGTTGTTTATAAAAACAATATATTAAGTATGTATATTAATAAAATATATGTATATAATTCATCGGTTCGGTTCGGTTATTTCTACGATTTTTTTGAATAAAATCATAACCAAATCAAATACTATCGGTTTTCAAAAATCTAAAACCAAACCCAAATAAAATCAGTTTTATTTTATCGATTTTGTTCGATTTTTCGATTTGAATTGGTTTTTATCCAAACCGTGAACACCCCTATTTGTCCCTATCATTTATAATAATTATATTAAACAATAATTATTATTGACTAATAGATCTTTATAAGTTATATTTAATTGAAAAAATTGCAATTATTGAGTATGAAGATATGCAATTCTTTTAATATGATGTCTTAAGATATTTCGATATTTTATAAATGAACTATAATTTATTCATTTGATAAAATTGTATAATAATTAAAGAAACTTTAATTGTTTTTACCATTTCTGAAGTTTTTATAATTTATGAAAAATAAATAACTTAAAAAATCAAATTATTTGTCCAAATACATGAAACTTCAATTTCAAATTAATTTAACTTTAAACTATATCCTAACGGAAATTTTGACTTCAACATTACAAGGTACTAAAAGAGTGTTATGATAACTAGAGCTGTCAATATGGGCTAACTCACCCTATTCGGGCTAACCTATATAGACTTTGAAATTTAATGGGTTAGGCTGGGCTAGCCCATTTTTGGTGTGGGCCAGAAAATGGTCGGCCTAGCCCACAAGTACGTGGGCTACGGACTTTGTCGGTCCAACTCTCTTTTCTCAAAAATATATTTTTTATAATTTTTTAAATTAAATTATAATTTAAAAATATTATCATAAATATTGACAAGACAATATTATATGGTGTTACTACTTGTTAATCAAATCCACAAATAAAATTATCTTTATAATATTTATTAAGTTTGATTTCAAGTAAAAACATAAATAGCTAAATATAAATATTAAGCTAGTTGTTTTCCAATAATCATAATAAAACACAAAAACCATGACAATATTCCATAGGCTATGGCCGATATAGTGATTCCCTAGAAGTTTTAGGGAATTTTAATTTTATGTAGTACATATTTTATAAACATAATTTGTATTTAAATTGTAATATTTTAAACTTTAAACAGATTTTAAGTTTAAACTCTTGTTATTTATAATACTCTATTTTTTTATTTTTTTTAATTAATTTTTATTTGATCCATGGGACGGCCCTATTCATATTTCATAAGCCCAAACAATTGACAGACTTATTCAGGCCGAACTAAAAAACTATTTTCTTAAATGAGCTTCAAAAATAATAGTTCAATCCTATTAAATTACGGATTAGACCAGGCCAATTCATGGGCCTAGCCCATATTGATGGTTCTAATGATAACGTACAAAAGGTATTTTATGATCATGATGAAAAAAAACAAGACATCCTGGTCTCACTGCCTGCCACCATCTTCTTCTTCTTTATTGGCCATGATAATTAATGAGAAAAATTAATGACCATCTTTTTTGGTTCAATTATTTTTTTAAAATCATTTATGTGTACATGCCTTTTGGAGATCCACGCTATTTTAAAAAAATATTTATGTGTCTAATTTATTTCGTTTTACTTTTCTCTTATGGTTAGTTCATTATTTATCGAAAAAGAAAAATTACACGTATAAATAAACATATACTAGTTATTTAGTTAATATATCTGTAGTTTGCCTTAATTATAATTTGCGGTCTATTTTTAATTATAATTACGCAACTCAGTTTTTAGTTTTGTATAATTCGCACGTTTGTATAATTTAGAATTTGTATAATATAATTTGTATAATTTTTGTATAATACAATTTGTATAACTGTTTACACTTCAGATGCTTGTAATTGTATAAATTCGTTATTTTGAGTTTATACAAAAATAGCTGAATTATACAAATGTACCCGTGAATTATATAAATGAGACAACTTAAACTATAGTTACAACCTGTAAATATGCAAACTATAGCTATAAAACATAATTAAATTTATTATAATGGATATTTGTAAAAGTTCTCCTATTGAAAATATTATTGATGGGATCTATATTGACCAAAAGAAATTTTGAATCATCCGTAATAACTAACTGGATCATACCTATAGCCTATACATTTTCCACAACATTTAGTATAGCATTTAGGAATTACAAAACGAAAATTCACAGTTTTTCTCTATTTTTTGTATGTATTATTTCATGAATTTATTAGAATATAATATACTAAGTGGTTTTTTTTAGAATAATTTGTAATGACCTGGTTAATGATATTCACATCCTCTATATCATTCACTCCAATTTTTCTAGCATCTAGGTCTTGGAAAACAAAAATTCAGGATTTTCTCAAATTTTTATGTGTGTATATCCATGAACTTTTGGAAAATATTATTGTCGACTCTTTTTGGTTCAATTTTTTTAGAACCATCGACCTATTGAACCATATTCGTATCCTCTAAAAGATCTAAGCCTTTTTTTTTTCTCAATATTTTAGGCCACTGAATAAGAATTCAAAATTTTATTAATTTTTTGTATGTTAGTTCCTTAATTTTTGAAAATATACTGGCCGATTTTATTTGACCCAATTTTTTTTAAAGATAATCCATAATAACCTAGTAAAGGGTGGTTGAGTATAAGGGTGTGCAAAAATCAAATCGAAAAATGCTATTGTGTCAACAAATTTTTAATGCTTTTATAATATTTTTTTATTGAATGATCGATTTGGTGTCGATTTTTAGTATTGGATTATTGGATAAATCGATAACTCATTAAGACAATAGAAATTTACTACTATACCCTTATAATATTAACTATTAATAATTTAACATAACTAGACATTATATTAGTACTCCACACGTCACAATACTTCTACTTCACATAAAAAAATTCATATTATGTATTGGTTGTAACATGTAATTGTAGCCTTCGTACTACATTTTCTATTATTGATGTAATTTCTCATTATATTTCTTGTTTCACTATATCAAAACATTTTATAGTTGATTTGCTTGTCTCATTGTATCGCGCCAAACTGTTAGAGAAGTGAAAAATCATATATTTATTTTATGAGGATTTTTTTTATTGGGTAAACTGAAAATCAAATTGTTAATGACCAAAAATCGATAAAAAATATCTTATTAATTTGTTATTAATTTAGCATATTAAAAAATAAAAAATAAATAAATTAAACTAATGATACATAAAATCGAACTGAACCAGCTGATGCATACCCTAGTTGAGGGTTCGGGGTCGTTTGGGTGAGAATTCTCAAAATGCGATTACAATTGGAAGGGTGCAAGGCCCGTGCACCTTGCTTTGTACTAATTTAGTTGACGTCATTAACATGTTAGGGTAAGCCACAGGGGATGGATGGTGTGTCTTTACCGTTTGATTTAATCCCCCATTCTTTTACCATTTGAAAAAGTTGTAATAAAATGATTATTTTACCCTTGTGCTTCGAAAATCAGTAATTTATATTTATGGTAAATAAATTTGTACTTTGGTGGAATCGAGAGGGAAAATTGGAATTTTAAATTGGATTTCGCCCGCTTCAGTTGAACCCTAATCCGAAGGTGGTGATTTCCAAAACAAGAGAGTGAAATGTCGAGATTTGATTACCCAACACTCCCTCGACAAGACATCATCGCTGTATTAGCGGAAGCTCAAATAGCGTCTGTCTCCGACGAAGATCTCATCAAACCCACCCCCGACTTTGTCACCAAACTCTACTCCAGCATTCTTCTCCATATCGATACTCTACAGTATTTAATAACCCAACCTTTACTTGTCTCAATCAATCAATCAATTTTATTTCTAATTACTTTCTCTTGTCTTTAGGGATGATCATGACCAGGTGGATTTCTCCGCTCTGGAACACCTTGAGAACCCGGATCTTCATGTCGACTCTTTTCGGACCATTAATTTGTTTCATAAGATAAGGGACATGTTGGCTGCTTTGGATTGTCCAGAGATATTTACTCTAAGGGATTTGATCAAGCCTGACCCTGATCGCACCCGCTTCTTTGTCGGAGCCATCCTCAACTTTTGTCTTCACAGGTCAGTAGATACTTTTGTGTTTTCAAAGGGCTGTCTTTGTTAACTCAGGCAAACATATCTCTCTAGTTAACTAATGGATGAACATTCATTGTTCACTATCTCATTCATCAACCTGCAACAGATCAAAAGCTTACACAAACTTTGTCTTTCCAAGTTTGGCACACATATATGCTTCTCTGTTTGTTTTGAAAGGGCTAGCTAATGGACCAGTTGCTGTCTTTGTTTACTGAGGCAAACATATATGTGTTTTATCTTGCTTACTTTGACAAACAATCATTGTTCACCATCTCATTCATCAACCTGCAAGGCTGCAAAGAGATCAATAATTCGGACAAACTTTGTCTTTCTAGTTTACATAAGTTTGGCAAGCAAATATGCTTCTCTGTTTGTTTATGATAAATGAAAATACTTTGCAGAAAAAATGCTTCCAATTAATAGCTGGAATGGAGAAGTTTACTAGCTTTTGCCTGAGATTTTCTTTTCTTTTGTCCTTCAACTGAATTATCACCCCGTCTCACCTCAAAACAAAGTGTTGCTCAATTTTTCTCTTTAATGTGTTGTTGAAAAGTTTAGGGACACTAAATTAAATGCTATAAGGCCGATTGTGGAAGATCTGACTCTCATTGATGAACAACGGCTTGCTCTGGAGGCTAGAATATCTCAGGTATCTGAAGTAGTAGAAAACATTTTTACAGGAAGCTTCTTTCTGAAAGTTTCTCTCAAGTTACTTACACTGTGCCTCACAGTTAAATGAAGAGATTGCAGTACAAAATGAATCAAGAGAAAGGGAGATGCCTTTGGTTCAAGAAATAGATTCTAATGTTAAGGAACTGAGGCAAACAATTTCTGGTCTTAACAATCACCAAATGTCCTTGAAGGCCTCAATAAGAAAACTTAAGGAGAGGGCTAAAGAGATAGATGAAAAGGTCAGCTGTTTGGCTTTTTTCTCCTTTTAATGTCATATTTATTATTTCATGAATTACTAATAGCCTAACACTGGATTATCTGTCTGATGAAGAATACTTGCCATATGTTTGGTGTTGGCTTACTTTAGGTCCTATGTTTCTAGGGATCTTTTTAGCCCAGTCAAAGATTTGTATGATAGAGATTTACATCAGTGGAAAATATAGAGAATTGTTGAGTATTCTTGAGCATAATTGGTTGCTCACAACTTGAATTTATTCTTACAAAGTGAGGACTAATTTTTTTCTTTCACTCACATTCTTGCAACTTTGTTTATTGCTTTCTCTTATTTCTCACTTGCTCCTCACACTTCTCACTTGATGACTCACTTCATGCTTGCCTTCTTGTTTACTTAAGCACACATACATCTCAAATGACCATCCCTATTTATAGGTGGTGATGGAAAAATTTAGTTGAGTATTCTAGAATAGCCCCCAAGGCCTAGCTCAAGTGGCAAAAGGTGGAGGATTTGTGGCTTAGGTCGCAGGTTCAAGCCCCACACCATGCAAAGCGAAGCCCGGTATTTAAGTGGAGAAGGGTAGAGGGACTGGCCCATTATCCACCGAGTTTAGAAGGCTGTGATTGGTCCAAAGGGCGGGTCACATACATAGTTCTCGGTTATCAAAAAAAAAAAGTATTCTAGAATAAACCCTTCCACTTATTTCTGGAATTGCCCTTCCTAGAATATTTCTAGACTACTCTCTCTAGAATTTTCATTCTAGAGCTCTTATTTCAATTCTCTATAAGTCTCGAATATTTTAGATTCTTCTTTGAAATATCCTGGATATTAAGTTGGTGATGATTGTTCAACAAAAACTTTTAGTACTTCTATATTTTGTAAAATATTGGCTTGAGATGAGTATAAATGGAGCAACATTGTTAATGAGGATTCATATGACCGATGTCAACTTGCTTGGAATTTAAGTGCAATTGCTGTATAATGGTAGTGTTTGAGCCATCTTGTGCACACCTCAACTATATCTCATGTACTTGCCATCTCCTACCAACAAAAGGACAGAGTAACTTTACCTATCAAGGTTTAGACATATGGGAAGAAATCACCTAGTGTTTTGTTGGGTTTGGACCCTGGTCTCCATGAGTTTCACCCACTTTATTAATGCTAGGCCACACCATTGGGCGTAGTTATTGTTTATCGCATATTATTGAATACAAGCTAGATCATAGTTTCTTTGATCACTGTATTATAGAATTTAGTATTTTTGTTTCCTCTCATCTACATCTTTCCTCTATGCAATTTAAATTCAATTTTACATTGTTACTTATTTTAATACTCATCTAGGAGTCATGCCGGTTTCAAAAAGATATCTGTGTTATGAACTAATATTCCATTTGCATTTGGTCTCCTTCCAGATTTCTAATGCAGACTTTGCATTGGTACAAGCTGTTCATGACAATGCCAATTTGCGTTCTAAGATTGTCCAATCACCGGATAAGCTTCAGGTATGAGTTATTACTGACTGTTGAGCTGGTTTTAAAAGAGTATGCATCAACTATGTCTTCTGGATATCTTGTGCAAGTGATGTGGTTTTTATTTGTCAAGGGTTCTATGACATTGAGCATGCTGGTATATTAATATTGTACATAATTGCAAATATGACTGATTTACATGCTGTAACTAAAGTATCTAATCTGGATTTCTTACATTTCTCTTGCTTTGACGAACCTATGACATATCTGCCTCGTGTTCTCTGAGGCATGGTTCCAGTTTCTCTAAGTTGAGATTCTTTCTTTTAGCTAGATCATTTCAGATTCTGTTTGTGAAATTAATTGCAAGTTTTCTGCACTTGCTCTTCTAACATCAAGTTGCTGCAGCCTTTTCGTTTCATGTGTTAATTTTTTGACTATTGAATTTTGTAGAGAGCACTGGAGGAAAAGAAATCATTTCAAGCTGAGATAAGGAATGCTGAAAGAGCAGCAATGCAGTCTTTTCAAAATAAAACTGCAATTCTTGAGGTTTATACAAAGGTACTGTTCATCCAATACAACCTTTATACTATATTTTCAACTCATAAATTGCATCTATACACTTATTTATGCTCAATAAATGAGAAACGGCATAGTTATTAGTATGTAAAAGAGAAGTTGCAGGAGATTTATAAAAAGTGGAATGTTGTGCTAGCCTCTCATTGTCATGACATGCCCCTTTGAAAAAATGCAGTACGTGGCCAGGAACAAACAGCCTGTTTGGCGAAATCACCCTTTTTCTACATTAGCATGAGCAAAAGGCCATAAGTATTTAGTTATGTGTCCAATTGATTGGATAATTATTTATTAGGTCTTAGCAACTTATCAAACGAGGTAAGAATATTTGATTGACATGTGTGGACAGTTTGCAGCTGGACATCTCATAAGTTATTTCTTGAATAGGAAATTGTGGAAGAAAGAATTTGAGTGAATGTACCTCCTAAAATCAAATTTTCTCGTTATGGAGAAGAGTTGGCTGGGGTGATTAGAACTAAAATTTTGCAAGCATGCTTGCATGTAAAAGCTATACCTTCATAGCAATTGCACTGAAATTGTTAATATATACAACTTTGAGTGGAAGTGCTTAATGACATTCTCTCATTTTGTTTTTCTTAATTATTGTTAAATTTTGTCTCTTTGTCAGGCTTACAAGAAAATGTCCAAGAACTTCAATCAGATGCAGGCTATACAGGAGCAGGTTTTCATGCATGTCTTGTTTTGGGATAAAATTTGTCATTACTGCATTTTCAGTGCATACTTTCTAATTTCTCATAATAAATTATTTTACCTGAATGCATTTACTGTTGTAAAGAAAACAAGTGAAAGTTAGATAATCAGAATAAGGAAAAGAAATAATTTATGAATACCTAACATATTTGCTTATTTAGATAACAAGGAACCAAATTACTTTGATCTACTAGATGAAGAAACAGTCATTTGAAGTGGAAGGAAAATAAATATATAGATCTATCTATGATGGGGAAAACACCTTTCCTCTTTCGCTTTCTCTCCACTCCTGCTCCTGTGGCTTCCCTTCCGGGTTCATTTCATGCCCCCTCCGGTTACTCTGTCCCTGGCATCCCTTTCTTCCCCTTCATCTTCGGTCAAGCGGGTGAACTCAGGGCCTATTCCCTATTTGATTCTCTAGGCTAGTGGTCCCTTTTTGTCTGGTTAAGATGTCCGTGCATTCATCTTAAATTGTGTGAAAATATATTTTGAATCTCGGTTGATGACAGGGAGCTATCCAAATTTCACATCAACACGTGCCACTTATAAGTGTTTTATAGCAGTCATGAGGAAAATAACAACTGAGTCTACGAATCATAAAAGTGCCCTTTAAAGTTGTGAGACGTCACTTGGTATAGACTATTAGAACAGAAATAAGTATATTATATATACATTCCTACCTAGAATAGGAATAAGAATAGGAATAGGAATCCTAGTTGGAAAAGGATTCCAATGTAATGTCTATAAATAGGGTCTCAATGTAACAATTTAGATACACAATTCAATAATATTTTTCCCATATATTTCTCACATGGTATCAGAGCGTTGGTGAGAAACTTCAAGTCACCGTGTCAAATACCGGCGATGATGGTTGGGACTGATTTGTGTCATCTTTCGTTATGAAGGTGTTGTGCGAAAGACAACACCATCACGAGGCTCGGGAAGCTCAAGAGACCAAACCCTAGTTAGATCCATCGGAAAAAAACCCCTCACACACCGTTCGAAGGCAGAAGTTTTCCGGTGAGATCCGGGTCATGCGTTGGCGCGTAAGTGCTGCTCCGGTCAATTTTTTTCAAGCTGTTTTCTTCTGTTGGGGTTGTCCAGTATTTTCGATCATAACCCATTCAGTTTTCTCCAGATCCGATCATTGGAATTAGGGTTCCGGCGATTTTCAGGCAGTTTCCGGCAAGTTCCCGGCGAAAACAGAATTTTCAGACCACTGTAGTGCAGTTTCCGGCAAGTTCCCGGTGAAATCAGAATTTTCTGACCACTGTAGGCAGATTCCAGCAGCTTCCAAAATTTTCAGACCACTGTAGGCAGTTTCCAGCGAGTTCCTTACTATTTTCAAGTCAAATTTCGAAAAATGTCTTTCGGGTGTGATGTTTTTGGCTCCAAAAATATGTGGATTGGAAGGAAATTCAAGCCATATAATCACGTCAAAACCATTAATGGGAAGTTCAAACTATTTAGCTTGGGGTTCTTCAGTTGAGTTATGGTGCAAGGGTCAAGGTGTTCAAGATCACTTAAATAACAATGCTTGCGTGGTAGATGAAAAGACAAAAAGGCTAATGACGAAGGTGCAAAAGCCAAAGCACAATGGGAGAAAGTGGATGCCTAATTATGTAGTTTCCTATGGCGCTCTATTGATTCTAAGTTGATGCCCTTGTTTTGCCCATTTTAGACATGTTATTTAGTTTGGGAAAAGGCACTTGCTTTATACACTAATGACATATCTCGATTCTATGATGTGATATCTCGGTTGACCAACTTAAAGAAACTAGAATCCGATATATCTATTTACTTGGGACAAGTACAGACAGTCATGGAGGAATTTGAAACGTTGATGCCTAACACTACAAATGTGGAAAAGCAACAAGAGCAAAGGCACACATTGTTTCTAGTTCTTACACTTGCTGGACTTCCTACTAACCATAACTCTGTGCGTGACCAGATTCTAGCTAGTCCTACGGTTCCCTTAATTGATGAATTATTCTCTCGTCTACTTCGTCTTGTTGCACCTTCCAGTTACAAAAAAGTTGCATCACCCACTGTTGACTCCTCTATTCTCGCATCTCAAACCATATAAAAGCATACATACCAGTCTACGGAGAATCGGCGAGGGGGAGGGCACTTTGAGTCTCTGCCTTACTATACATCTTCTGATCATCCTGATGTATCTATGGTCTTACCCATACCTCAGGTTTTACCTGTACCAACTTTTGAAGAATCTACGGTTACTTCTACATCTCCTATTGTGGTGCCACCACTCCTAACTTATCATCGTCGTCCGCGTCCAGCCCTAGTCCCAAATGATTCATGTCATGCGCCAACCCTTACTGCAGACTTGCCTCCTCTTAGCCAATCGCTTGCACTTCAAAAAGGTATACGATCCACTCGAAATACTAACCCTCATTATACCTTCTTGAGTTATCATTGTCTATCATCACCCCATCATGCATTTGTATCGTCTTTGTCCTTTATTTCTATTCCTAAGACTACAGGTGAAACACTTTCTCATTCTAGATGGAGGAAGGCTATGGTTGATGAGATGTCTGCTTTGCATAAGTGGAGCTTGTCTCCCCTGCAGGTAAATCTATTGTTGGTTGTCGTTGGGTTTATGCAGTCAAAATTGGTCCAGATGGTCAGGTTGATCGGCTTAAGGCTCGCCTTGTTGCCAAAGGGTATACTCAGATATTTGGGCTAGATTATAGTGACACTTTCGCTCCTATGGCTAAAATAGCATATGTCTGCCTTTTTCTATCTATGGTTGTCGTTCGTCATTGGCCTCTTCATTAGTTGGACATTACGAATGCTTTTCTACATGGTGATCTTGAGGAAGAAGTCTATATGGAGCAACCACCTGATTTTGTTGCTCACGGGGAGTCTAGTAACCTTATATGTCGATTGCGTAGGTCAGACCATATAGTAGTCATCTAGCAAGAAAGGGAAAGATCACTTAGCGCAGTGGAATAGGAAAGAGAGTGTCGAGCACAACTTTTGTGTCACCGAAAATCCTTTTTCGTTTATTGGGAGACTGAATGAAAAAGGGTCGCGGCCAGTCTCTTTGTAGTAGTTATAGCGGGAAAGAAGAAACGATTTGGTCTCAATAAAAAAGCCTATGAAAAGAAAAGAAAATGGAATTGAAAGTACCTTGCTTTAGACTTCGAGTTGACAGAGAGGAATGACAGAACTCTGAAACACTCCTAGAGCTTGGTTTGGGAAGTTCAGCACAGTAATTCAACAGTTTGGCATGACTTGTAGTGGTGCTGATCACTCTGTGTTTTATCAACATTCTACACCAAATCGGTGTATCTATTTAGTTGTTTACGTTGATGATATTGTTATCACTGGTAATAATCAAGATGGTATCACCCAATTGAAGCAACATCTTTTTAAGCACTTTCAGACTAAAGACCTTGGCATATTGAAGTATTTTCTAGGTATTGAGGTTGCTCAGTCTAGATCAGGTATTGTTATTTCTCAACGCAAGTATGCCTTAGACATTTTTGAGGAGACAAGAATGATGGGATGTAGACCTATTGACACTCCTATGGATTCAAAATTTAAACTCCTTCCAGGACAGGGGGAGCCACTTAGTAATCCTGAAAGGTATAGACGGCTCGTTGGAAAGTTGAATTATCTCACAGTGACTAGACCTGACATCACTTTTTTTGTGAGTGTTGTAAGTCAGTTTATGACTTTCTCTTGTGATAGTCATTGGGAAGCAGTTGTTCGTATCATGCGATATATAAAGTCAGCTCACGGTAAAGGACTACTCTATGAGGATCAAGGCCATGAGCATATCACTGGATATATAGACGCTGATTGGGCAGGATCACCCTCTGATAGACGTTCGACATCCGGATATTGTATTTTAGTAGAAGGTAATTTGGTGTCGTGGAAGAGTAAGAAACATAGTGTGGTTGCTTGATCTAATGCATAATCAGAATATCGAGCAATGGCGGCAACAACTTGTGAGCTAGTTTGGATCAAACAATTGCTGGGAGAACTAAAATTTGGCGAAATTGATTAGATGGAACTTGTGTGTGATAATCAAGCAGCTCTTCATATCACATCAAATCCAGTGTTTCATGAAAGGACTAAGCACATTGAGATTGACTGTCACTTTGTCAAAGAAAAGCTACTCTCAAGAGATATTGTTACGAAATTGGTGAAGTCAAATGATCAGCTTGCAGATATCTTCACCAAGTCCCTTACATGTCCTCGTATTAATTACATCTGTAACAAGCTAGGTACATATGATTTATATGCACCAGCGGGGAGCGTTAGAACAGAAATTAGTATATACATTCCTACCTAGAATAGGAATCCTAGTTGAAAAAGGATTCCAATGTAGTGTCTATAAATAGGGTTTCAATGTAACAATTTAGATACACAATTCAATAATATTTTTCCTATATATTTCTCACATAGACCATGGTTGTCATGAGTTCTACACTAATTTTCCCCTGGATAGTTGTCATTCTAAGCAAAGCAGTCATGAATGCCTTTAAATTTTGCCTAAATCATATGAATGATACTTGCAGGTTAATTCAACTAAATCTATTGAGAAAGATGTTAAGGTTCTCAAACTAAAGCTGAGTGATGAAGAAGTACAGGAAAAGTCCCTTGAAGCTAAACTAGTTGAAAGGCAAGGAAAAGGTAGCCGTAGCTGTTTTTATTACATTCATTTGTAGTTTCCTCTTAAGTCCGATGCTAATATCATATATTATCCAGCGGACCAATTGGAAGAATTAAGAAAGCAATTAGAGAAAGAAAGAAATCTTAGTTTTGAGGAGGCTGCCAAAGAATTGAAAAATGTAAAGTTGGAAGTGGAATCAAAGAGGCATGGTCTTGAAGCTAGGCAAAATGACTTGGAAGGTGTACTTGCAGAGGTACTGTTATCATGTCTTGATTTTCTAAAACAGTGTATCTTGTTTGAGCTTGCTCCTTACCAAAATCACCTCTTCCATTAGGCGGATGCAATAACTGAAAAAATTAACTCAGTAAGGGAGTCTGGAGCATCAAAATGCCAAGAATTGGACCGTAATTGCGAAGAAGTCATAGCAGAGGTACAACTATCTCAACATCTATGTTCTACATATCTATTTTGGTGAATAAAACAGGGATTCAAACAAAGGGGAGCTAATATAATTGAGGCCTAGTTTGCCAATGGCTATTTTAATCTTTGTTTACTATTATTTGGATCAGTCTCTCTCTCTCTCTCTCACACACACTTGTTTTTTCCCCTCTTGATGCTCTCCCTCTGGGTTATTAATAGACACACGATAAGCAGATCGCAGGAGGGTTAACTATGCAAAAGTGCTTATTTTGTTGGAATGAATAGGACTTGTAACTCCAAGCCTACTTTTCTATGCGTATTTGTGTAAAATTTTTCTTCTTACTTTTCCTCTGATATTATTGTTTTACATTGCTACACTGCAACTTCTCGTCGCCTAACTCAGAAAGCAAATATAGCAAGTGTTTTTTTTTTGTTTTTTTTTTTTTGCCACAGTAACATATATGTAGAAGCAATAGAATTACATTATATCGCCTTCTTAGTATTGTCTGATTGCTTTAACGTGTTCTAATGTCAGTTTTATCGCCACTCAAACTCAATCAAAGACTTGCTACCGGACATTGAAGTGGACGAGACAAGTGTTGAGAAAAGGAGTTGATCTTTAACTATATCTTACTCTTATATATATATATATATATATATATATATATATATATATATATATATATATATATCTTCTTATCTTATCTTCTTATTTATTAGAATTATTATTATTGTTAGAATTAGAAGTGGGAGTTTAAGAGGACGAACAATGCATTCACATTGACATGTGTGTTTCACTTTACTACATATAGATGAATCCCATCATGTTCTTCTTATGAGTTTATTCATGTTATTCTCTGTTATATAATTTGAAAAAAATTAAAGCTGTTGGGTTCTTTATTTTCAATTAGTACAACAAAATTCATACAAGTGGAGAAAGTATTTTGAAAGTAAATCGTTCTTTGCATGAAATTAAACTGTTGGGAGTGAAATTGGTCCCAAGTCCTGGTGAATTCTTTGAACATTGTTGGTAGAAATTTTGTTCGTATCTTTATGTTTCTTCTCTGTGTATATATTTTTGTGAAAAAAATAGTATGATAATTGATAGCTAATGAAAGTTGTAATTGTTAAAATGATTGGGAAAATTTCAAAAGGTGAAAAAAAACAAACCTAGAGTTAGAGTTAAATGGGTGTTCAATTGTTGCATACTAATCACACCTACATAGTTGCAGATTTAAGCACATATCTATATTAGCAATACTCATATATTCCTTTGTCCAATAATACTTGTTCATTAATTACTTCAAATACTTCTTAAAAAATTATAAATAAAAGGTTAATTTTACTGTCATCCTTTGAAAATAATAAATACAATTTCTTAAAAAATGTAATAGGGAAATAACTATAATTAATGATAAGGGTAAATTAGGAATAAGTGTAAAATTATCCATTGATTTTATAAAGTGAACAACTACTGTTGGACGGAGAAAGTACCATTTTACCCAATAAAATTATGAAAATTCGTGAACTAATTCATTCTATCTATGATATACAACTTCCATTGTGTAGGGTACAATTCATATAGCAGTGTTTCCATAAAGTCAAAGCAAACTTAATCCTCCTTCATTTTGACAAATGTATTTTAGGTCTCTTTTCACTTTGAGGTCTAAGAAGCTGGACATTGCACAACCTTGAGAAAAAAAAAGGGATGGTACTATATGGTGAGGTGAGTAAAAAACGTAGCAAGAAACATGGTGATAAGAGTGATGATGATTTTGATATTGATACATTGGCCTTAAGCAGAAGAAACTTGCATCAAAATCATCTTCATATAGTTTTGGAAGAAGTTTTAACTTTAAGGGTGTATATCGTAGGACGGAATTAAGTTTTATTGTGCCTTTTATGCCCATGGTTGTTGAGGAAGTAGAAATCATGAAAATTGCTGACTTAAATTGTTCATCCATTAATCTAATAATGTACATTAATTTTCCTCACCTTTTTTTTTTTGGGAAGTGACTACTTCAGATTTGATGGGGAAAAATTTAACTGAAAAGCGTGATATACTCTCTATTTGGTGAAGGTTTTTGAATACTTTGACAACATACCTTTTTTAAGTGAATTCTAGAAATTTACACTTCAAATTTAATCATTCTCTACTATATTCACGCCTAAAATCACTCTATGGCATCACCAATTATCCCCATAACTTTATTTTTGAATTTCAAACCTTTTCTATTTTTTGATTTATCAATTGCAAGTTATTGAAGAGAAGGTATTTCTTCATCTTCTTCTTCATTCATTTTTTTCTTTCCACTTCATCAAGTATCAATTTTTTTAATTTTTTTTTTAAGCTTTTTCATCTACAAATTTAGTTGAAGAAAGATGCATCTTCAACTTCAAAATTGATTGTGGAAAGAAGGCCCAAAAAAGGGGGCAAAAGGTCGAGTTGCTGGTGGCTTCGGTACGTAAGGATTTTTGAGTCGAGATCCATGGGTGACGCCATTGTTGAAAGTGAAAAAAATCTACGGAAGCTGAAACAAAGCAAAAGAGAAAGTGTAAAGGATTTCTTCATATTTTTTTTCAGCAGATCAGATTGTTGATTTTTTTTCCCGATTTTTTGTTGTTCATCATTTTCTGATACATATGATTTTAGTTTTTTTAATGTATCTAGTTGTTTTTCTTTCTTAGATTAATGTATAATGCATTCGTTTAATGTATCTACTTGATTTTGATTATTAAATTAATGTATAATTCGTTCGTTTTACATTTATAATACATTACAATTTTATCATGTACCATATATCGTTTTCAAAAATTAATTTTGATACATAACCCTAATTTATTGAAACACAATTTGGTATGTATCACGATCATAGTTATGTATTGGATGCACAACTATTACAAATTTCATTATCTTTTACCGCCGATACATACACTTTGTCTTATTCTACTAGTTGAAGGTTATGTATCTGTAGACACTATCAAATATTACTGTTGATACATAAAACACTAATATTTATAACAAAATCTGTTTGTATCATAATCATAAACCATAGTTATGTATATGACACATAACTTTGTTATGTATATAATAACATAGTTATGTATCAAATGTTGCGATGAATCACATGTTGTTAAGTATCTGAAATACTATTTTATAAACAAATCAACGTATATTATATTCATAGGTTTTTTTATATGATACATAACTATATTAAATTGTCGATTTTTTTAAAAAATATATCATGATTAATTGGATGAGATTTGAGAGAAGAGAATTTGAAATTTGAATTGTTTGGAGTTGACATTTGGGAGAGATTGACATCAATTAGATTTGCATGATTTGAGAAATTGACATTTAATTTTATAATTAATTTCCTTTTTAATCTCAACAAACTAGTTGTATAATGTAATCAAATGTGATGTAGCGGAATGTATTCGAATGACAACAATTTTAGAAGATTTTTGTAAGTTGAATAAGAATAGGAATAAAAGATAATTTGCTTTTTACACTATGAATTCCTAAAAAATTTACATTTTATTTATTTACAAATAAAAGATGTGTATCGATATAAAAGGAAAAGTTAAATAGTGAAAAGAATAATTGTAGTCGGATTGTCCAGGTGTTTAGCAGTTGGAGGCTGGAGGCAAAGGTTACACAGAGTGAGAGTCCGGCGGTCTGACGTTAGAGCGTTGAGAAGAGATAAACATGCAGCAATATAGCTAAGCTCATACAAATTCAAAAAAAAAAAAAAAGTACTTTCCTTGTTTAATTCAATAACTCCAGCATTTACATTATTATTATTATTTCTTTTTTTGTTCATTCCGATTTATTCGCCTCCCATAACTTATACCTTCTCCTTAATCTCCGACTGTAACCAAACCCTACACGCCGATTCACAATCAACGCTCTCACCTTCATCCAGGTATATCTCTCTCACCTACATTGTAATTTCTTTTCTGTTTATTTATGCAACCAAGTTCTCACCTTTTCCCTTTCTGTTGATCGGTGAAACTTGTTTCTTCTCTTCTCTTGCTGGTTACAACTATGCTCGAAAAAGCCAACAAAATTCCTTTTTTTTTTTTTTTTTTCGCTTTTTAAAAATTTTGGGTTATTTTTTTTTTGAGAATCTTATTAGACGAAACTAGGGTTCTGTTGTGGAACCCAATGCGATTCGTTTGAGTTTTCCTTTCTTCTCTTCGATGTATTTGTTTGTTTTTGTTTGAGTTTTCAATTCCCAATATTTAATTTCAGCTTGTCTTTTGAGCTGTATGTTAGAATTTGAATTTTAATACATATGATCATCTGCTGCATGCCAATTAGTTATCAGAATGGATAAGACTGACGTGGAGATGGAGGATGCTGAAAACAAGGTCCATGATGTCCAAAACAGTGTGGTAGAGTCGATTGATTCCAATTTGAAACCTGAAGGGCCTGCTGTTGCTTGCCAACAGTCCACTGAGTCACTGGTGGAGTGCCAAGAAAATGCTAAAACAGGGACAGAAGACCAAAATAACCACCCCGAGAGTGGGGATAAGAGCCCAATTCCTGCTGAAAATGGGAACGGAGAGCAGAACAGTAATGTCGTGGAAGGTGAAGGCAATGCTAACGATGATACAATGAACCAGAATGATTCAAAGGCTGTGGTAGAGGACCAGAGGAATGCTGCAAGTGAGACAGCGACTATAGGCCAGCCGGAGACTCAAGGCAATACACCAGTTGATGACCAAAATAATGCTACAGGTGGAACAAAAGGAGAAACCATAATTGAGGAGAAAAAAGAAGGGGATCCTGATGCAGATGTGGCATTGAAGAAGGAAGAACCTATTGGAAATGTTGCACACCATGATACTAGAGGTGTAAACATGCAGGTACATGAGGAGCTACCTGCTAATGAAGTAGGTGACAGTGGAAAAGAGGTGAAGGAAGCTCATCAGGCTGAGAACTCGATCAAAGATGTTCATCAAAATGGGATTGATATGATGGTCGATGAACAGAAGAAAGTGGAACATAAAACTAATACTGCAAGTGTTATCTCTGATCGTGATGATAGATCAAATGAGTTGTCAGAGACAAAAGATGATGTTAAGAATACTGCTATTGCAAAGATGCCTGAGCCAGCTACTCCGAATTTGTCGGTGAAATGTGACACTGCAAACACTGGGGAAGCATCAAATAAGATCTTTGATGAATCAAAGGTATCTTGTGCTGATACTCTCTGTGGAAGGGTTTGATGTGTAGATTTTGTGGCAACTAATTTAATGTTTCTAAATTGATCAATTATCTGCTCAAATTATAGATGGCTGACGACGAGGATGAAGATGAGGATTGGAATGATGATGGATCACCAGAGGATCAAGCAGCTTTTATGAGAGACCTTGAAATTTTTTACCGGGAGAGAGCAATTGAATTTAAACCACCCAAGTTTTATGGCATTCCTCTTAATTGCCTGAAGTAAGTGTCTGATGTTTTCCGATTGCGCAGATCTTTCATTTTGCTTCAGGTACATATATGATTCTTACCATGAAATTGGCTGATAGGTTGTGGAGATCTGTGATCAGATTGGGTGGCTATGATCGGGTAGGTCTTTGTCTTCTTAACTTGTATGTGACAATATTTTACTTGTGTTATACAAGTTTATAGAGTCCCTTACTTGACAATTTAAGCATTTTTTCACTTCAAAAACAATTCCACATACCAAAATAAATAAATTCCGGGGGTGCTGTAAAGGTCAAGGTCAAACAATTCCACTTTTTTGATAGTTTGGCATCAGGATGCGCTGTAAACCTAAAATAAATGAACAAAAATGTCCCCTTTTGTCAAAATAAAGATTGTGTGAATCTCCTCTTTTTTAATTTTTTTTTTCGATTTCAAAAACACGATCTTAAAGAATATACTGTTCATACTTTGTTTGTTTTAGTGAAACTATTGCGGTTGTGTTGTTTTTCTTCTGCTGCTAGGTTAATGATTTGTGTGCATATCTTGTACTGCTGAGAGATGAATATGATGTTATTGACTTATAGTCATGCTATTTGTGACAATCTAGTATTAAATCGATTTAATTATCTAGGTTACTGGCTCCAAGTTGTGGAGGCAAGTTGGCGAATCGTTTAATCCCCCCAAGTAAGCATCTTAATCTAATGAATCCTTTTTCTTTATGAGCGTTGAACTTAAAGCATGAACTTCCACCAATACAATGAAAAACGTAGCTCTACCTTTTCAAATGACAAGTTCTCCCATGTATGTAATGGAGATAAGGCATTGACAATTGCAGACATTTTATTTATATTTGCATGTGAGATACATATTGTGCATCCAAAATTAAGGTAATCGGCTGAAGATTATGTATGAGGTATAATTCTGGAAGGCGACGGAAATAGAGGCTAAATTTAATAATCAAGAATAATGATTTACAATTTATAAAGAAAGGTCTTGTAAGCAAGGATATAGAACTCGGGTCAAGAATTGGGACCAAAAGGGCCCTTTTGTTTGTTTAATTTGGAGAGTAGGGTGGTGCAGTTCACTCAGAATTGTGTAGTCACCGTTGATGCTGCTTTTGTAGTGTCAGTGTAGCTGAAGTCCTCTAGCATTCTATTGAGGGGCCTGGGTTATTCGTTAGGACTTACTTTAGGTAGCTATTTTTGTTATTTGTTTGTTCGGACTTATTTTATTTTATTTATTCCCTTTTATTTTAATATATATACAAGTATTAGGAGTAACAGATTATATTAAATCAGAATGCTTAGATTCTTTTTCTTATAAATAGAACTAGAGTCATCTTTTAAATTATTCAACCTTTATTTTTCTTTTTGATAATTAGGGGTCAAAATATGAATGTAAGGGTGGGGAATGATTCTAGTTGTCAGAAGGAGGGGGCAAGACTGCTCTGAACTAATCCAGGTCCTACGATGAAAGAGACATTGACTGGAACATCAAAAAATAACCCCGTTTCAAAGTTAAATCAACAACTGAGTGAGTTGAGTTTTGTGGGGGGATTGGGGTAGATGTGCGGGTGCTAATGCGAGGAGTGATGTAGTTGAGTGGTTTGAGAGGATAAACCTCAACCACTAGTAATCATGTAAGGAGGGAGGAAGATGTATTAATGGACGGGGGATAAATTTCTCATGTTTGGGGAATTTCTAGGAGTAAGATACTGCAACGGACATTCTTGGTTAAATGTCAGTCTTAAGACTTGATAGTACAGTCATTGCCCAAATATGAACGGGATGGAGGATAAAGTTATGGAATTACTGAATGAAATTGGAAAAGAATTTAGGGGTGTTCGGTTAGGTTATTGGAGAGTGGGAGAGGAACGAGGGATGATATCTCAAACAGGGGTGGGTGATATTGTGGTGTATGAGGAGGCACAAGAGGATTGGGATGGGTTGTAAGGAAGGCGAGTTAGAGGGAGCGGGAAAGGGTAAATTTTTTGTCGATAAATAGTAAGATCATTACTTGGAACATGAGGGGGATGAATGACCCAAACAAAAGGACCATCATCAAGGTGGGGATTAAGAAATGGGGAGCAGACTTGGTATGTTTCCAAGATACTAAGATGGAAGCAGTGACCAAGAGAGATGGGTAAAACATGATTTTATCCCGACAAGAGAGAGTGCAGGGGTATTTTATTACTATGAGATGAGAAAAAATTGGAGGTCACGGAAACAAAGAAAGGGGAGATTATGATAGCAGCTCATGTTAGGGATATAGAAACCTTGAAGGTGTGGGAATTTGGATGAGTGTATGGTCTGATGTGGGTAGGAACAAAAAGGGTTTTTTGGGAGGAGATGGGAAATTCCATAGGTTCTTGGAGGGATTTTAATACTATTAAGTTCCAGGAAGAAAGGTTGGAGTGTAGATCGGTGACTAGGGCTATGGATGAATTCTCAAAGTTTATTGACAACTATTTTCTTATTGATCTTCCTTTGACAGGAGCATTATTTACATGGTTTAAAGTGGGGGATTCAACATCACTCTCTATACTTGATAGATTCTTAGTGTCCAATTCATGAGGAGTTAGTTCAAAATGTGACACAAGTTCCTTTGCCTAGACTAATTTTGGATCATTCTCCAATTATGTTAGATGAAAGTAGAAGCAGACACATGAAACCCCCTTTTAGATTACAGAACACGTAGCTGAAAACAATAGATTTTGGAGATAGAGTGACATGATGGTGGAACAGTTACTCGATCACAGGAAAACCTTCATTTTGCCTAGCAAAACCAAGAACCGAACTGAACTTTTAGAAAAATAGAACCATTATAGAATCGAAGAACTGTATCCATAGAACTGAAGAATTCAGTCTGTTTTTTTAAAAATATTTATGCCCAGCCTTAGCACGCACTATGAAGAGAGGTGATAGGGAAAAATATGGAATTATGGAAGGGTGGTGGAGAGTTAAAACATTACTACTTTTGGGTGTGGGCTTTGCGGAAATATCTTGCAGGGGTGTGAGGAATTTAGTGGTAACAAATTCAGAAGATACCAGAAGGAAATGTTCGTTGGGATCTTCAGTTGAGGAGAAATTTTCAAGATTGAGAGAAGGAGAAATTGTGAGAATTGCTGGAGACGCTGTACAAACAAACTCCTTCCTTAGATATTCATGTTTCTTGGAGATGAGAGTTAGGGAATGGTGTTTGCTTTGCAGTAAAGTCTCTTTATGCCAAGATGCCTCACTAGAGATGAGACAATTATCCCACACGATGCAATATGGATTCCCAGGGCACTAAGAAAGGTATTTTTTTTTGTATGGTTGGCAACCAGAGGAGTGATTTTGGCAGCCGAGAATATGAGGAAATGGAGGATTAGATATGTTAGTTGGTGCTTTATGTGCAAAAACTCGAGAGAGGATATGGATCACCTTCTACTACATTGTCAGGTTGCTTCAAGGTTATAGTGAGTGATTCTGAGATTGTTTGGACTACTGTGGACTATGTTGGGGACGATACATGATGCTTTATTACACTGACGTATTAAAAGGCAGAAGAGAAGGTACAGAGCATGAGACATCACTCCATTAACTCTTATCTAGGTAGTGTGGAGAGAAAGAAAGAAATAAGTGAGTTTTTGTGTAGGTTCTTTTTTCTGGTATATACTACTTGTATACAGGAATTTCCCCCCTATTATTAATGAAATTATTGCTTCCTTGATTAATAAAAACAACACCAAGTTGACTGTCAATCAAGTAACTTCTTATGTTATTGATATGGCACTTTTCCCGTTAATAAGACAAACAAACTTTGATTGTTTGTTCCCATGCCAAAAAGATCTCTTCTAAGTTTATCCATTTGCTTTAGGACGGAAGCTGGGCAGGAGAAAGGCATAGTGCTCCTTCTCTATAAAATGAATATTACTTTTGAAACATGTGGTACATGAGGATACCAACCAAACACATATATAATATATCAAAAGGGAAAAGCACAGAAACACAAAATACAACGAATTGTTCTCTTTTTGATAAAATACAGGACGACGTGTTCTAGTTAGACAGAAAAAGGTGTGGTCTAATCAAGAGAATATCAGCTCTATATACGTGCCTCTTCAGTGTTACCTGATCGATATCAGTCTTGAAGCCTAAGATTTGGTAAGTATGTATTGGTTCTCAACAATTAGAGATGTTGGGGTGTTACTATGTAAGAACGCCATGTAGCTACCCATGAAAGTCTGATGTCTCCAAAAAGAAGAGTGAGAGCTAATAAGGATAAAATGAGAGGTGGCAATGACCAGAACCTGTTTCGATACTCAAACAAGATAAGAAGTTACTTGACTAACAGTCAACTTAAGAGAACAAAACAGAAGCTTCTATCAGTTCTTATTGTAGTATCTTTAATTTTGATTTTTTCCCTTTTAGGATAATCATTCTTCTCTTTCAGGACTTGCACAACTGTATCCTGGACATTCCGCATTTTTTATGAGAAGGTAATAAACCCAAGACCCCTTTGGTAGCTATTAGTATATTTTTTCCATTGTTGTCCATTAAGTGTAGCTTGTAAAATGATATCTTTGCACCTTAAATAATCTTTCCAATGTGGATTGTTTGTGAAGAGCTTGGTAAAATTACACAGTGGCAGTAATGATATTTTTTTCCTGTTGATGGTCTATAAATGTCGCTCCCTCCCTAATATTGTTTTGCTTCTCGGGCCTTCTTTAAATGGAAACCTTTACTATTGACTTGTAATATTTTTAATATTGCTCTGCATCAAGAGTTAACCAGAATCCAATTTCATTCTTATATAATTTTTAAAAAAAATTAGTAATGTTAATTTCATTCTTATATAATTTCTAACCTGTTTACAACTTAAAACTAATGATAAGATGCATGCCTACTCAAAGTAATAGAGGCAAAATGGAGAAATAATGTGGTATTATTCCTATTTCTATTTATGTGGTTCTTTCACTTCTTAATTAATACATTTCTGATATTCATACACTTCTTAATTCTACTGTCTTGCCATTTTAAACCAAAATCAGATTTTTAAGTCTGATTTAACAACACCTTTGCTTGTCTCTGCATATTTGGTTGTTTTTCTTCTCATAGTTCTATTATCTGGAAAACCTATTCATTTCTTACTTTTGACTTTATATACCTTCTTTTGTTATCCAATGTTTTCTGCATTATAGGCTCTTTTAGAATATGAAAGGCATAAGACGCAAAGCGGCAAGCTTCAACTTCCTATTGCTGCTCTTCCTGAAGCAGGTGTTGACAATGAGGTATGCTTGTGTTTGCATTCAGCTCCTCATTTGTACTAACTGTGTATCTTCTAATTGAAACACTAGTCGAGTCAACTGGCAATTGCCTCTATTGCAAAAAAAAAAACAGCACCACTTAAGCGCTAATCTGTACAAAGATTGAATGACTACAGATTCTATCTATTGGAAGGACATACGGTTCAACAATGTATTAAAATGATACATTTTTTAAAATTTCAGCACAAAGCCCAAAAGCTCTAGCCTTTTGAACTTTATGCAAGAAATGCCGTTTTTCCTTCAATACATCCAGAATTTGCTTTTCTCACATTGTCCTCCGTCCGGCCTGGAGCTGCTTTTCATTCTTTGTCCTTGCAAACTGCTAATGGCCTCTTTTAAGCTGCTTGGCCCTACCCATTTTACTCCAAAAGGGCAAGTAAATATGAACCAAGTCATAGGGGATACAAAAATTTTAAGTTAGGTATATTGGGACTCCTTCCCTTGAAGATTCACACATGTAACATTACTACAGATTACTAATGGAGCCTTTTTTTTTTTCTCCTTCTACTCTAAAGATAAATCTGGTTGATTTTTAGTTGATAGCTGAGAATAATAGTTGTAGTATCAGAGTGAATACGTGTTGGCTTGTGATCAACAGGGGAAGTAGAAAGCACATTCTTTGGAGTGACATTAATGTCTAGGCATTAGATAGACATACCATACTGAGATGTTTACTTGTTTTATTTTATCAAATCTTGTTTTGAATGAGCCAAATAGAAAATGCAATATTTTGGAATGTATTGGTTACAATTTATGAAGTATTCAGATATTAATTCCTTTGCCCCAGCAACATCATGCCCCACAGCTTAATGTCAAACTCACAAGAAAGGTCACAGGACCTCTATGAAAACAAATATTTTTCCTTTTATTATCCTAACTTAAATATTAAGTAATTGTTTTCCAATTCCTAGAAAGAGCATCTTGCCCAAGCTATTCATTATTCCCATCCATAGTTTTTTTAAAGGTCTTACTCTTGGTATAACTATCTAATTTATTCTCTACCAATTTATTACATGTATTTGTGACTGAAGAAGTTTTTGAAGTTTTGATGTCTTTAGTTCTCTGCAGCTTTTGATAAAGTCTGCTTCACCCCTACCCCCCAAAAACACTTCGGTGAGTCTTATAAATAGATTTGTTTCTGCTTTCATAGAGATAGGCTCATGTAGATTATCTTTCCTTCATATCAATCAACCAGTTGGCCGTCTCGAGTTCTCTATAGCTTTTAATAAGTCTGCTTCACCCTTACCCCCCAAAAACGCTTCGATGAGTCTTACAAATAGAGTTGTGTCTGATTTGATAGATATAGGTTCATGTAGATCATCTTTCCTTCATATTAATCAACTAGTTGGCCTCTTAGGCATATATAGATGTATAAAATAAACCATCTTGAAATAATTCTGCAGGGAAATGGTAATCAAACTCCTGGATCAGGCAGGGCGAGAAGAGATGCTGCTGCTCGTGCTATGCAAGGATGGCATGAGCAACGTCTTCTTGGTTGTGGCGAGGTTGGGGAGCCAATTGTAAAGGTTTGCTGAAATTATAGAACTCAAGAAACATTTATTGGTCGTGTTTACCTTTGACCACGTCTCTTGACATGTATTACTATTTTTGTTATGAATCTCTTGATAGGACAAGAATGCCAACAATACGCCAAAGCGTGAGAAGAATTTCAAAAGCATTGGTAATTGTTATTTCTGTTTTTTTTTTACCAACCTTAACCTTCATATTTCTTTAGATATAATTCGTTTCTGGTTATGATATCTCAATTTGAAGTATCATATCCAGCAAATCGCTGGTTGGTTGTGGGCCTAGTGGCTATCAAGGAGATGATAGTATGATACATGGACACGACAGAACGGATGATATCTGTTTCCTTAAGAAGTCAGATAATTCTGATCTTGTACTTGCATTCAGGTTCTATAAAACACAAGAGACCAAATGAAGTGGAACACCCTTCGAAAGTGGCACGAACAGAAACATCTAAGCAGTTAAGTTGTTCTTTGTGTTGATTGTCTCATGTAACAGTTTTCTTTATCAAAATTAGTTCATCTTGTCGGAAGGCGCTTGGTTTAAAAATCTTAGTTCAATGTAGCTACTCAAACTCCACAATTTGCAAATGTTGGTTTCATCTCCATGCATGTTTTTTATTTATTTATTTTCATTTGTAAAAGATTTCAATTTTCAACTTTGTCCTTGCAGCATCCAGACATGTTGATTTGTTGAGTAGTCATATCATTTCACCTGATGTGTTGATCCCACATAGTTTTTCTTTTCTGGAAAAACTAATTATCATAGGCTTCTGAGATTTGATCTTTTAGTTTGAGATATATAAGCCTTTACTGTTACTTTGGAGCCTGGGTTGTAAATGGATGTTGCTGTATGATTGAGCAGTATTGCTCTGCCATTTCTTTTCTTCTTTCCTCTTGCCCAGTTGTGAAACTAAATTAATTTTATTTGCCAGGTTGGTTACAACAGTTGTTGATTTGGGACCTCCAGCTGATTGGGTAAAGATCAACGTGCGAGAAACAGTAAGTTCCTCTCTGATTCCAAGTATTTCTACTTTATGTTTACTCGCTCTTCCATTGACTCGTAATGTTTCTTCACAAACAGAGAGATTGTTTTGAGATCTATGCTCTGGTGCCTGGGCTTTTGAGAGAGGAGGTATGTACCTCGCGCACCATGTGTTTCAAGTTTTCACTTTGTTGTCATGTTTTATTGTATACAAATCCCCCCCCCCCCCAAAAGTGGAAGTTTACAAATGTCATCTTTATGATAGTTTTCTAAAACATATGATTTCAAAATTAGACTACATACCGTCTGTGCTGTGTAAAGCACATATCATTTGGAACCACTTTGAAGTACTCCATGCGAGAATTGTGCTTCTGTTTCATATGGGTGCTTGACCTTCACCGCAAGCTTCGTCTAGGTAAAAGGGCAAAGCGGCCTCCTTAAAATGATAAAACTTAGAGGAGGAGAATTGTTTATTTTGGAACGGAATGAGGTTCTGAACAAAGATGGTAGTCTATGAACTTCGACCTATGCTATACACAAAATGAGGACTTATTTGTGAACCATATCTTTTCATATCCTCCGCACATCATACTTGAGCCCTTTTCACAGTATATCCCATCTGCGTCTTTTACTTCCTTTTTGGGCATTGGTTTTTTCGTACGTGTGAATAGATCTGTTTTTGTTGTTGCTATTTATTGGCATAGAACTGTTTCCATTTTATCTGATTGCTTCAAGGGATGGATTAAGTTAGTGAGCGGAGAGACATGTGCATATCATCGGTTGATAAAACCCTCGTTTTCACATTTTGCAGTTGTGAAGTAGTGAAAGAAAATATTTTCAAGGTTCATTGAAGCTGATCACCTTTTTAAAAGAGATTTTCCGTGATGCACCAGTGGTTTTGTAGAATATGATATATGGCTGATGCAATTCTTAGTGCTTACTATTCAAACTCTGACAAGTATAAGATGTTCATTTTTCGTTAAACCATCCATGTTATATTTCCGAGGACAAAAATATAGTGGCTATTGATTGATCTGAATCATTATTATTTATTAGCATATTCTTGCAGTGAATTATGGTTTATATTGATCCAAAAGTTTTCACTCCTTATTTCTTGGGTGACCAGGTGCGAGTTCAATCTGATCCTGCTGGCCGTCTGGTCATAACTGGTCAGCCGGAGCAACTTGACAACCCTTGGGGTATTACCGCCTTCAAAAAGGTAAGTTTTGCTATTTTATTGATCTACTTCAATATGAATTCTCGTTCTACAACTATCATGATTTTGCATCATCTGTGCCTTTTGCTGGAAGTCTAAGACTGATGATATCTAGGAAAAGAGAAACTAGTGCATGTTTGTGCCAAGAGAAGACGGAAAAAAAAAATTCTTTGTTCAAGTTCCTCCATAATTATTTCTTTGAATGGAGTACAATTTTTTTCAGAAAAAGAGAGCTATTTACTTTTCTGAGATAACGGATATAAGCTAAATGCGGTTCCAATTTATAAATGGCTTCCCATCTTTCTTACTGGTGTGAATGTTATGTTCACAGAAAGAATGGTCCTTTTCTATTTTAGTATCCCTTTTATTGGCATGGGAGAAATATTAAGGGTAAGTATAACCAACAAGTGCCTATGAGGTTTCTGGTTGTTCAGTTGCTATATGTTTGATCAAACCAAATGATATAATCTTGGTCTTGTGATATCCAAACTATACATAGAGATGTAAATACTTGTGTTATTTTTCAATTCTGATGAAACAAGGAGTATCCATTTATAACTTGCATTGGTTTTCTCAGGTAGTAAGCCTGCCAGCTAGAATCGATCCACTTCAGACTTCTGCTGTTGTTAGCCTCCATGGACGGCTCTTTGTTCGTGTACCATTTGCATAGTGAAATATTTGACTGAAAGCGGGAGTTTTGAACATTTGGCTGAACTTGATTGACAAAGCATGGATGCTGATAGTTGACCAACATTGATAGTCAGATTGTGAATGCTAGGGCCTTAGATTGTTGGATCTGTGTATGATGATTAGTTTGATCAAATTAGTTGTTGACGTTCTGTGGGTCAAAATTTGACAGCAAAAGGAGGCATGTCCAGCTACAGCCCCCGCTGCGACACATTTTTTTACTCTGGGAATTGAGGGAATTTGCTAGAACCTTTTTGTTCTGAGATTAATATTGATACTTACTTATTTCTAGTTAGCATTTGACTGTACATCTGATGTCCAGCTTGACCTGAGGTCACTTATTTGCAAAGGTGTGTGTGAGAGAGAGATATGGGGAGAAGACTAGCGTTTTTTTGTTGAAAAATCAGTTCATTATACGTAAGATGAGTTAATGGTGTATAGACAAGTGAGGCTTGCTCTCGTGATTGATCACTCCACCATCAAGTGATAAGTTGAGGATTCTAGTCATGATACAATTGGTCATCCTTAAAAAAAGAAAAGAAAAAAAGAGTAAATTGTGGAGGGGTTCAAATGGGTTAACAATGTCCAAGTAAATAGTTAGTGGTTGATTGTGGAGGTGCTAAAGTGTTTGTCCTGTGTCGTGTGAAATCAGTAAAAACAAAAAGGAGTGGAGTATTGGTGAATTGTGAGCATGTGTTGAATTTCCATTGCAGATGTAGTCAGAGCATCTTATCAGAAAATTGCAGATATCCTTATCACTTTCTCTTTCTCAATAATATCCAACCCAAATGTTGTTTTCGTTTTCCCTCGTTATTCTCTAAACAAAGGTCCACCGTTCAACACATTGAATATAAACCAGGAATTCCATAAATTTAGTACCGTTTAAAAAAGAATGACCTACTTTGACTTGAAACAAAATTTAAGAAAAGAAATAAGACTTTAATCTTGTAATTTTAAATTAAAATTATGTTAAATGTATCAAACTGCCTTTTAATTTTGTGACTTTACACATGCCACGTGAAAAGTTAAAGTGTATCCAAAAAAGGAAAGGAGACATTCTTTTTGAAATAGACTAAAAAGAAAATTGGGCATTCTTTCTCAAATAGAGGGATTATAATAACTTCTTGTCTACCAAATCATATACTAATACCTTTTTTTAATTGGAATATTATTATTTCATGCACAACTTTAATTTTGCAAACTTCAAAACTCGTGAAGAAATTGAAGTTACGTTGTGTAGCTGACACTGCAATTTATGTGCTTATGTGTCATAATTAAATAGATGATATATACATACAATGCATGCAGTCAATATTGATTCCTCGATGCCTGGTTTCCTCTTAACTTCTTTGTGATCTCAGTTTGATTTTCAGTTTCTCCAACATATTGGAGAACGCAACTCTCTTTAATTAATTAATTATTAATATCACAACGAGTAGATCTACTCTTTATGCTTGCCAGCCGTTAGCTTCCACTTACAGTATGATAAGTATAACAATACATATCATAATGCACATATATATCTAATCAATAACTCAAAAAATTAATCAACGTAACCTCTACTATCATACAAACATATATAGATTGTACATTCTTCAACAAAAATTACGTATTGTTTGGTCTTTATTGTATCTCAGTTAAACCAAGACCAAAATCAAAGTAAGTATGTTATGGCCCATACCAAACTCCAGTGACAAAAGAAAAAGGGAGGAGCAACAAACAACACATATAATGAAGATTTTCTTCAGCAGTATGATAAAAAACAGATGAGAAAGACAGTATGTCAATAAAAGATCAAGTTCAAGTCCAAACAAGGGATCGGTCAATATCTGAAAACTGACCCTCAAAGCTCTAGTTTATCTTTTAATACTAGTAATTTGCACCATTACATACGTAAATCTAAGATTACAACAAAACAAATTCTAATTAATAAGCCAAGTGATAATAGATACATGAAAAAACCAATGGAAAACGGCACATGAAGTTTAGACAATCAAGATGAGCATTGTTAGGTGTGATATATAGTACTTGTACAAACACCATATATTTATTTATATAGACATGAAATGCAAGGTAGCTACTCACTCACCTTTTGGAACAATGCTCTCAATGCTTTGCCCTTGAATTGCAAATTTCTTCCTCATAGTGGAATTGAAAAAAATGTAGTGTTTGCTAACCACAACTGGCTATGCAAATATTCCTATTATTTTCTGCACCAGCTACTCCATCGACTCTATCTTTGATCCAAACATTTTGAAATGTATTATAATCATATGAAAGCTAATTGAGTGGTAGTAATTATTAACACTCACGAAAATCATGCATCTGGTTCTCTCATAATCACTCTAACTTGCAATGCAATGTATATACTAAAATGGGGGCCTTTCATTTGCAGCATTGCCACCCCATCCAAGCAACTCAGCTGAGAATGAGTAATTATTCCCAAAAGCCATATTTCCACCTTCGCCAGTTCCAGCCTCTCCACCACCGGTTACTCCTGATGACTGTGAGGCAGCTGGCTGTACCTATTCAAATTCATACTAACGCACTTTGGTAAAATATATACTGTATTACTATAAGGCACAATGAGAAATTTATTGAAAATACTAAGCACACGAATAATTTACAAAGCTGGATCCACTCTTATTATATAACAACATTACAAGAGGCGTTTTAAAGGGAGTAAAATACTTGTTTGTGTTCAATTTGGTAACAGTGTTCGATTATGGATATTAATTGAAATCAGATATGTGAAATTCCTATATAGAAAGAGGGGGCTTTATATTTTAAACCAATTGTTTATATGAAAAAACAAGTGAAACTAGTATAGTAATAATAATATTTACAATGTGGTAGTAATTAATTAATTAATTATACCTGTGTAGTAGGGGTACCAACACCAACACCAGAAGCATTAGCATTAGCATTAGCAGCAGCAGCATCCTCTTCCTCCAACGGAAGTCGTTCAAATACAGCATTAGCAAAAGAGGCAGCCATTAAAACGACGGGACCTGATGCCATCAAAGGCCCTACAACGGATCCTCCAACAACTTGTCCTTGTCCACCTGACAAAAATATAGAGATCCCACTGGAGCCAGGCGGTGCAGGCGGAGGAAGCACCGTACCTGAGAGGGAAAGTATCTCGAAACGTCCGTGAAGAGTGACTACAGTTGCAGCAGGGGAAGCAGGCTGGCGGATGTTGACGTTGGCAACAGTGCCGCTACCACTAAGAATACAAACACCTCTCCCTCTCCGCCTTGCGTAATTGGAGATACTTTCCATGATATCAACATCCGTTGAAACTTCAAGCACGTGAGATCGGAGTGCATTAGGCGTATCTCTGGTGACGATTATTGGAGGCTTGGGCTTATTTTTAGATCCAGGCGGACGGCCTCTAGGTCGGCGATTTGAAGAAGTTCCTGGAGCTCCGCCTCCGGAACTTGCACCAGCATCACTGTCAGATTCACCGCGGCTCAATCCCAAACTATAATTAAAATCCATCTATTCTAAATTGCAACAGATTAATTAGTGCAACCACAGAAATGGTTCGACTAACAATAGTTGAGCGTCAACCTATAAATCAATCAATCGGATCTAGTAAGTTGCAGTATTTGGCGGATCGGAAAAAAACAGCCTTAGATAGATATATAGTCTGGTGGCTGAAATGAGTAGGGAAGCTAAATAGAAAATAATTAGAACACGGAGTACTAGTGTAGAACTATAGCCATCATCAGGATTTACAAGTAAACAAAAATGGAAAAACAGCAGCTAGCTAGCACTAGTGGTCTTTTGCCGTTTTAAGACTTGAGACAATTGGAAGTGGGTAAAAGATGCTAAATGTTGAAGAAGAAGTAAACAAGAGCAAGTTGCAAAAGAGAAAAGCAGTAGGAGGCCGAGTATTGAATAGAAACAAAAGGAGAGGAGATTTTTGAGGGCAAGTGGAGTGGGTAAATATATATATATATATATTGGAATGGAATGGGATGTGCGGCTGCAGTCAAATCAGTCGCTGATGATGAGGTTCAACCCATTTACACACCATCTTCCATCCCTAGCTAGCTAACTTTTCACCTAAGCAATGCTTCTTTTAATATCATAATATTTACCTAATTAGTATTTTATATAAAATGAAGGAGGAAGTCATGATACTATTGATGTATCAAAACTATTTGAGTTATTAGTATATAAAATGATTAAACGTGAAATATTTTTCTTCGATCGGTTAATAATAAGTACATATGTTCGATTGATTGAAAGAGGTTAGTCATTTTGTAATTAAACAATGCCACCTAATAATATAATAATTAATTCAACAACCCTATCAGATGGTCATCGTCAAATCAATAAACAAATAATAATATTCTTTTCTATAGTAGAGTGAGTATACCACAATTCATGTGTGTGTTTTTTTCTTCTTTTAATTTTGGCTTTTATCATGTGATGCGACTTGCGAGTGAGTATTAATTCTTCCCGGCCGTAGCACATAAATCTCACTATTTGATTAATAATAATGAATGAGTAATAAATAAAAGAAGAGAAGAAATGAAGTTGGCAGTTTGTTTGTGCGTGAAGTGAATGGGCTCTGTGTGTGTGTGTGGTGGCAGCATGACACGTATGAAGCAGACAGACAGAAGCCACGTGCGGTCAAAGTAGGCGACCATGTGACGTGGTGTCAGCTGTTATACCCACGTGGATTTTGTCGGTACTTGTTCTTTACTCGAAACTATACATACAACCCCGCACCCTTTCCTTTTTCTTTACTCCACTCCACTTATTATAAATAAAAAACGTTTTCATATAACTTAACTGAAAATACATCATATATATACACAAAGAAAGAAAGAATGTGTTGAAGCTTTGATAACATTTTATAGGTTTAGTTAGTTATTCGATCTTCAGTTAATAATTAATGAGATGGATGGATGGATGGATGGATATGTAAGTAGTCGGATTCTTCTATAACAAAAAAAGGAAAGGTACTAAGTACTAACTAAATGGGAAAATTAATGTCCCAGGGCCAGGGGGGATCAAATGAATGGATAGGGTCTTCTCTTACATCTCCAAAAAAAGGCAATAACATATAAACCAGAAAAGAAGTATACTACTCCAATTAGTACTACGTACTTGAGGATGGGGATGGGAGTGGGGGTCCCTTATTATTATTACTTAGGTAAACATGAAATGGGAATGATGCATGCACATAATTTGAAACATATGGGGTGCCCTCCATTCCCATTATATATACTAGGTCCCTCTCTTACCATTTACCTCGCTTTTTCAGGTTTAAACTAACAAATTTTCATTTCTATAGTTTTTAAATATTTAAATTTATTTTTATTAAAAAAAAAATTATATTGGAACTAAGAGGGTATTACAGTCAAAATGCAATAAAAGAAGACACAAGTAAACACGCCAACCCCAAGAGGTATGGGTTTGACAATGACTTTCCTTTCAACCTAAAATCATAATAAGAGGTTTTTCCTTTTTTTTAATTATATCTCCAACATGTTCTTTTTATATATATAAAAATCTAATCAGCCAAACATATAAAATTACTTTTAATATTGAATAATAGTGAAAGTCAAACAAAAAACCTTTATCTATGCTATAAAATAATACTGCATGTAATCATCTTATTTAAAATTTTAAAGGATTAAGATGATACATTTTTATTTATTTAATTATATATTTTTTTATTGCCAATTATTTTTTTTAAAAAAAAACATGTAACTCTGCTCGTCTTTGGAGATTCAATTCGTGGCTTTGTAGGCGAACCTGAAATTATGACAAACGTCTTTATATATGTCACAAAGTATATTGGCTTAGGTAATATGATATAAAATTCTCAAACTTTTTATATGCGTTTTGAACATTTATTTGAGTTGAAGTGAGAAAAAGTAATATTTGAAGTTGAAATTACGAAAGCTGATATGCTCCTCATGAAACGAATTGTACGGTTTATTTTATTTTGTTTTCAGGAGAACAAAAGGATATTATTATTAATGATTATAAAAGAATAAATCAGAAGTAACAATTTACAATATTATTAATGCATATATAGAAAGACGACAAGTAGTCTTTTAATAAAGTATATACTAAATAATAGAGTGATGATATATGTTTGGTATATATCCACTTTAGTTAGATTATATATTTAAACAAAAAAGTTGGGAGTAGGATATGCTTATATATATGTGTAGTGACTAGTGCCTCTTGTTTATAAAATGGACTTATTTGAGTTCCAAGCCAATCACGAAACACTCAAACTTGTTCTTTTCTCACTTAGAAAATGCCTATAAAATAAAGTAATGTTACTACTAATAAGAAATGTATATTAGGCCTTCACCAACTATAATAGCTTAGGCAATCACAGATTGCCATTTCACTCAATATAGTATAATATATATATAGTTATAATAATGTTAATTATATTAAACTGTGGAATCGCCGCACACTTTTAATTTATCTGGATATATTTTTAAAGCTTATCTTATTTAATTATCTCTTCAAGCAATCACGTCCACCTCTTTTTTTTCAGACCTCTGTAAAAGTAATAGAAGCTCTTTTTTTATTTGTTAAAAGCGTATTAGGAAGGAAGCCACTAAGTCAAATATATATATATACCTTAAAAGGATAGTATATATTACATGCTAAATGGTATAATCGTTAAGAATAGTATGTTCTTTTTCAAAAACTTGACCAAATAAGCTATAATTAATTCTTGTCACAAATAAAAGGTATTGTTTATTACATGCTATAATTAAACATTAAAGTACATTGATTTTGTTTCAACTTTTTTAATTTAAAAAAAAATAAACACCTATATATGGAGTAATAATATACAATATATTCTGGATCAACCAAATAAATCCTTATTCTGGGGCGTAAAGAAAATCTATAGTATGGCACTGTTGGGAAATTACCAAATAAGATGATATGACAGCAATATATATTATGTAATTGGGAAGTGACGTTAGCTAGCTAAGAAGAAAAGAATTAATGCCCTTAAACATTCTCAATATAAAATTTAAAAAGGTGCACTTAATAATTTAATAATATCGTAGAAGTTAGATGCTCCTCTCCTGTATAATTTTGTTTCTTTGTCGGCTTGTTTTCTCAAATATTTATTCCTCTCCTTTTACCTTTTTCTCCATCATAGTAAAGTAATTAGTAGTAAAATTTAGGTTATTCTTCTTTCCTATAGAAGCATGTTTTAGGTGATATATATATTTCCATTAACATAATACTATTGGACATCAGCTTCCATTATTATTTGCTTTACATCTACACAACTTATTCTTTCAATTGTTATTATAGGTTTAAGTTTAAGATCGATCCTTATGACCTAGGATTCCATTTTATCATCAATTCAATCTCCAATCCCTATATATATACTTATATGTCTCGTATATCAATCATATTTCATCCGTTGAAATAGTCATGTCAATCTCACAAGTCCTCCAAGAAAACTTTAATTCAAACTAGTTTGCAGTTTCTAGATCATACGGACTTAGCTAAACTAGCATTGATCCAAGAAATTATACATTTTTTTAAAAAGACAATTTTGGTGAATTATGACGTCTTAATATTACATCCAACTATCCATCTCATTTTGTAAACTTCAATCATTACGTACAACTATGGATATAAATTAAATGTTTAGAAACAAACATAACTAAATTAACCATTTAAAATGATATATGTCACACACAACCATCCTAGCTTTGAACAAAATTTGTGACAACTTGTATTGATTTCTTTCATACAAAGATCTGGCGCGTCAACATTTACTGAGAGAGAGAGAGAGAGATACTCGCTCTTTTCTTGTGGCACGCCTTACTTAGCATGAGCTCAATGCACTAGGCTTCCCTTTCTTTTTTTTGGACTGTTTAATTAGGACGATGGGACCATGCACAAGTCAAGATGTAACCCAAATTAGAGATGTGATAATGGCACAAGCATTAATCAGATGCACAAAAGGTCAAAGTTAGATATATATATATATATATATATATATATATATAATGCGAATCTACTCATTCACTCACCTAACTGCATCAAAATTCAAAATGATTATTATCTGTTTCTTCACCCTTTTTTTCTCCAGTGTAGCTCACCTTAATTAATTGTGGTTAGCTAATTCCAGTTGTCTAATCATTCTCTCTGCATTTCCTTCAAAATTAACCATTCTGGCATAACCAGGTAATTATTGTTTACCTTTGTAACTTCTTGACCAACAACGGCTTTATGCAAAATGTGAGAGGAGACATTAATAGAACAAACTAAACATGTATTAAGCTGACATTTCCCAATCTAGCTACTAATCAGAAACAATTTTAAGCTCAAACAGTGAAACACGAAAATATAACAAATAGAAACTCAGAACAAAAAGAGCATGAAATTCCAATCTCCATAAACCAAAGGTCCACGCTTCCTCGTACAACAGGGAGTATTAATAGTTCCCACGAAAGTACTTTTGTCCTATATGGAGAATTGGACCAGATAGAACATTCAAATCAAGTTCTAGCAGAGACTGAATCATAATATACTAATCTAACATATCATCAAAAAATATGGTCCCAACATCCAAATTCTAAGGAAAGATTATTGGGTTAAGAGAGAACAAGGAAAACCAAAGAGCAGATGTCAAAAATTTAGAGAGTCTAAAGGAAGCTATGACCAACAATTCGGGAAAACACAGAGAGCATGATTTGGCTCAAAGACAATAAACCCAATCTATCACCACCATAAACACAACATATAAGCATGTTCTTCTATCTTTGACTTCAGATATCTTCTGCAGGATTGCAAAGTAGTTCCCACCAAAAACGGCCAACAATTTCATATCAGCAAAGTGCAGGACCAGCATTCAGCAAGAATGGCCTGTCCATTATATATCTATTGTTCTCTATGACTATTAGTGATAAGCTATTTGAAGCAAGCAGAAAGAACTATGCAATTAAGAAAATCACTGAGATTCTCATTACCATAAAGTTTTTCTTTAAAAAAAAACAAACAAAAGTATACAGGCTTTCACTCTTTGTTGAGTGTAGATTTCAAGACTCTATAAAAGCTTTTTGCAATATGGACAAGCTTTATGAAGCAACTCTATGCCAACAAAGATGGTAAACTCTAGCTCAATATTAAGAAACACACAACCACCTAACATTCATATTTCACAGGAATGATTCATTATGGAGAACCCAGAACAATACCTCGTCAGTATCACAATCGATATGGATGGTGAACTGGCTGAAATCAGATAAGTTTAAGCAAAATTATAATAATGCCACCATCGTACGCTGTCCTTTCTTCTCCATTGCACATTTTCCTATTTCTTGCTTTGTCTTAGACAGTGTGACAACATCATGGTTTCGACAATTTATTCAAACATCAAATTTGATTTACTGTCAATGGCAGAACTAATTGGCTAAGTAGGCATAAACGACGTGTAGCTCTCTTTTCAGCCAAGTCTGGCTACCTCGGTATCTAAAGAGTACTTGTCCTCTCTCCATTCCTTTAACTTGGGAGTTTAAGACATTCCTTTTCCACCATGATTTTATCATCTTCTTTTTCTGATATTTTAAATGCCAACTTATATGATTGCAATATCTTTTATTCTCCCTCCGTCCCAATTTATGCAGCACACATTCCTTTTTAGTTTCTCCAACAAGAATAACATCTTTCTATATTTAAAACAATTTAACTTTAGATTTACTATTTTACCTTAATGAAATGATTTATAGTCACTTGTTTTAGATCACAAGTTTCAAAACGCTCTAATTTTTGTTATACTCCATGCCAAGTCAAACAATGTCACATGGAGGGAATAATTCTCTAGCTTTATATTTGGAAAAAGAAAACTAATCAATTACTGCCTAAACTAGACCAACTTAATCAGTTTTACCCACAACACCGAATTAGGTGATTCTTTTTTCCGATGCAGGTAGTATTACTCTACGTAATAGAATCACTGGGTATGATTACACAATTTTCGGTTGAAAGAAGCACTGATGCACATAAATCCAATCTTATAAGGAAACTTCTTATGAAAATGTTTGGATGGATTTGACTTAACATAAATGGCTGAGCACAACCCCAGAGCTTCAAAGAGAATGATACAAAAATTTGTTAAGGATAGCATTCAAGTCATTCACGTTGATAAAATAACAAAGTGGAAGTAGAGAATGAAGGAGTAAATGTACGCAAAGAAATTCTAAGATAAATACATACAGAACCAGCCTGCACTCCATTAAAGTCATGTAGGATCAAAAAGGGTACATAATTTTCCAGCATCAAACCAGTCAACACTTTGAAATAAATAAGTTGGGATAGTTTCCTAAACCAGTCAAAACTTTGAAATATATCAGAAGTAAAACAGTAAATCAAAACCTAAACATCTCAATACTATGGTGATATCAAGATAAACTAAGAACGTTGAGGTCTAAGGTTGACATACCTCAGAAGTAACTAGAGGAAAATATTACAGGTACCCTTTATTGAAGTGTGTGATCGTCTCTCCAAAAGTTTAAGTTGTTAGAAAGAACCCAAATCTATTTACATAATTATGTCTCAACATACCCTTTCACGTGCAGTCTGAGTATTTTTCATGGGCCAAGCACATGGAATTTATTTTTGATAATGGGTGATGATGAGATTGAACATACGACCTCTACTTGCCTCTAATAACATGTTGAAGTGTCTAGCCATCTCATTTAAAAGTTCAAAATGTTAGACACCGTCCGCCTTTATTTACTTAAATAATTATATCCCAACATCCTTCATAATTTATCTACATAAGATGTCAAATTTTAAGCATATGTATGGTATAAGCAGAAGTGATACACTTCTAGCACTAGTCCAATAAAATGAACATGAATCCTACTACTAATAATACTTCTTAAGCAAATAAAATGTAGATATTTATTTAGATTTTTACCCTACAAGTATACGGTTCATTATCCATCAAATATATTGGCTGTTAATAGGAACTCTTGAAGAGAAAAGGCTTTGACTTCACTAAATCTCAACTAAAGCTGCCCCTCCCTACATTATGGGAAATTGAAATTGGAAATTCAAAATAGCAAGATTCTTGAAATTTGATGACCGTTAATACAAAATCCTTATGGAGTAATTAACACAAGAATAGAAGCTAGTCGAACCAATACATATAAACTTTGAGCAATGAACAAAAATGTTCATGTAGCTAAGATAAAGGGAAATAAAACTATCATGTTGATAAACCAGTATAATGCTATTCAAGAACCTCACCTTGAAAACAAAAAACAAAATACATGCTACATTATATCCACAAAAACTTAAAGCTTACAAGATTTTCTTTTCTAGGTATAGATAATTATTTGCCCCCATAAAAAAATGAGTTCAGAAGTATAATTATATAAGCTCCCTATACGCCAATGAGCAGCAGTAACTCCATAAGGATTTACAATTCCCTGAGCATTCATTATGCAAGCTAACTTACAGAATGGCATGGAATTCTCTATTCTTCAGCCCTTTTAGCTTTGTTCTTGTTACCGTATATCAATCCAGTTTCCTGCCAAAATTCATGAAATGGATAAGACCAATACTGAATACAGCACAGACAACCGTTGATGGAAATCAAAAGGGCACAGTACCTGCGGATCAGGAATGGGTTTTCGCTTCTCAACATAACGATAAGCATCTGATGCAGCCGCCTTTTCCTGTCACCCAAAAATTAAAGAAAAAAATACTACTTGTAAATTGCCCGAATTAAAGTAGACAGACTATTCATAAAACTAAGGGCTTATCAATTGATTGACTTGTAAATACACAAAAGAGAAATTGATAATTGAGAAATACCTGTTGCTGTCTCTTGAGTTCCTGAGATGGCTTGACCCAGAGAAAGTAAGCTAAAGTACCGGCGACAACCCAAGATGCCAAATTGCTTCCACCCCTTAAACCTCCGGTTAAGTTTCCGACAAAGGATCTAACATTACCTGCCGATTTCCTCCAACTGGCCATTCCAATTCCTTAACAAAAATCAGTTTGGAGCAGCAGCTCATGCAGAAATTTATGGAATCAATCCACAGTTGAATGTCTCTGGTGAATTGGGTTTAACTTAACGGCCCATCGAGTAACGGGCTCAATTGGTTTGGATTTCTGCCTAGCCTGCTCCATCATCATAAATAACCAAGCTATACTTCAGCTTCAGCCCAAATTAAATCAACCTGAAAGCCCATTCCATCAGTTTGAGTGTTTGACCAGCAACAAAAGGTCAATTTCATGGCTACTTTTTTTGGATATCTATATTTAGTAGGGGTGTACATTCGGTTTTTCGGTTTGGTTTTACACTATTCGGTTTGAATTTTTGGTTTTTGGTTTTGTAAAAGTGTAATCCAATCTGATTCAAAATAAATTTGGTTTGATTTGGTTTCCTCTATTCAATTATTCGATTATGTCAATAATTAATAACATATATAACCAAAGTAATAATATTTAGAGAGAGAAAATCCAAAATAGTCTATTATTTTTGGGTTAAGATTCAAAATCATTCTTGAGTTTTCATATAGAGTAGTAATATATAGTCCCTCATGTCTGCAATATTGGTGCACTTTTGGTCCTCTCCCAAACTTTTGTCTATTTATTAACATCGATTTTGTCTACAATTTTAAGTATGGAATGCTCAATCGTCTTTTTGTATATTTAATAGAGATAATAACTTCATGTGAGAAGAAGAACACCTTGTTTTGTTTGGTAGAAATATTATGACATCTAAACTAAGAACACATTAACATATGACATTGCAAGAAAAAAAAATTATATTATTACATGTGAAAACGATGTAATGAACCTCTCGATTTTAATTGCAATAATATTTCTACCAAACAGAACAAGGTGGTCTTCTTTACTTTTTCTCCATGTGAGAAATGGAGAATAAGACGTGAAAATAAAAAGGATCAAATTAGTGAGGGATAAGTGGTAAATATAAAACGATAATAAGAATATTTTATCTTTAAAACGTAATTTTCTGCTTCTGTTTTTTGAAAGAAAATAAAAAACTTTCTCCCAAACAATCCATAATAATTATAATAGATATTCCAGTTGCCTAACAAAAGTTAGTAGGCTGTATTTTCACGTTACTAATTCATCTAATGTCCTTTTCCTTTTTCTAAAATAAGGTGGAGGGATTCAAGCAAATTGTTATTTGTATGAAAATATGATGATTAATCCGCGGCTCCGTCCAGAGATTATTGTTAATTAATTAAGAGAACTAATTAGATTTAACAACTATCTACAACAATCTAAAGGACACGTAATTAATTAATTGTAATCCATGAACTTTGAATTTAAATTATACAACTGTACAAAAAGAAGGTGTGTGTCACGTTGGCCCCATAAGGGACAATGATATGTTCAAAAGATTTAGTAGTTACTAGTATGTTGTATACGAGTAATCAAATCTTGAAATAAAAATTATTGGGTAGAGCACAATATTTTGTACTTAATCACGATACTCTTGGACGGATTTAAACCACCGTAGTAGATTTGGTCGTACCTGCTAACTTCAATAGCTCTAATTTTATTGTTATTATATCTTAGATGACGATGCTGATGATGATACAGCACAACATGAGCAGTTGGAATTGGTAAAAACGAAAAACTTTGGTTCCACCAATGAATGTTCGCTCCAACAAAGCAACATTGGGTCCAACACCACATGTTTGTATTATTGTCAATTATTCTTTTTCGTTTTAATTTATTTGTCATGTTTCAATTTGATAAAAAATTTAAGAAAGTAAAAAAATAATTAAATTGTAGTTTTCAATATATCACGTAGAAAGTTAAATTCTTTTTTAAATAGACTAAAAAGGATGATAAAATAGAAAAAAATATTGATTGAAAAAGATGACAGACTAACAGATCAGAAAAGGGGCCATAGTGCTTGAACCTTCGTAGTGACACTATGATACAATGATCTATGAATTAATTTGATATAAATATTGAGTCTTTCGAATAAATCATTAACAAAGTGGAAAGAAGCAAATATCATTACGTGCATTGAACGTAGATAATGTTGGACCACTCATTTTTAGTGGGTCGGGTCCCCCTCAGGTAGGCCTTTTGCCAAACCAATGTTTAGTCAGTTGGCTCTTTGTTCCCAAATGAATATAATTCCACTTGCCTAATCACATATAGTACCAAATCAAAACTTAGCGCTCCCATTAACACAACATATGTTCGTAAATTACAAATTTTAAGCAGTACGTTCACGCTCTAAATTTCATCAAGCACCCCTCATTTGATGTCTATTCACAAGGATCAGAATAGACTACGAATACTTTAAGTCTAATGTATTGAATGAAACTGACAAAATCCTTCACTTGGTACTTACACATAACAAAACTGTACAATGAAATAATAACAAATACCAAAACTTCAGAACATCCCAAAAACAACAATACACCAATGCTGGAAATTTAGACTAAATACAGACCAAAGGGGTGACAAGCAAGATTGGGGTAACAAAATGCAACTTGAATAATGCTTTAGCGGGGACGTTGAAGTAGAGTCAAACCATGTTAGCTTTGTCTACCCTGACCTCACATGGCTTGCAAAAAGTTACAGCGAAGCAGATGTGCACTGCTTGCTCCATCCCCTCCCTACCTCAGTTTCAACTTTAACTTCTTGTCTCCTAGCACATATTTCAAATTGACTTGCAAGGAACTTGCTAATAGTTTCAAGATTTTATGAGGTAACTGTGCTCATATCCCTGATTGATCTGTTATATTTCATGTGGCTTTTAACAAGTTGGCCAGATGCAATGGCAGACATCAGTGACAGCTCCCCAGCCAATACAGAACCGGCCACTATGGCTGCCAGGAGCCTTGAGTTGGATGCAGGGGATTCTCTGCATGCACCCTTAACACCGAGCAGATTCAGGCATGCCGATTGAGAAGCAAGTTGAGTCCCACCACCAACAGTACCAACCTAGACAAACCATGCTTGTTTGTCAGAATAAATATTGCATCCCAAGTAACAAAGAAATTTTTGCAGTACACAGATTTATCACATATAAAGTGTGACTTGTCACCATATTATAGCTATCAAAGTCAAATATAAACTATAGAATGAAAATTACCTCAATGCACGGCATGGTGACGGATATGTGAAGATCCTTCCCATCATTGATAGCCTCCATCATGGTAATGCAATGAGAACTCTCTATATTTTGTGCGGGATCCTGCCCAGTGGCTATGAAAATGGCAGAGACGATATTGGCAGCATGGGCATTAAACCCACCGAGAGCTCCAGCAATAGCAGAGCCGGTAAGATTCTTGATCATGTTCAGCTCTACAAGAGCAGATACAGAAGTTTTCAATACTTTCTCTACTACTTCACCAGAAATCATTGCTTCACATACAACTGACTTTCCACGCCCTTGAATCCAGTTCACAGCAGCAGGCTTCTTATCAGAACAGAAATTCCCTGCAACATGAGACAAGTAGCAGTCAGTAGAGATGCAAGAGCTTCATGAATGATTACGACAAATACAACGGCTGGCAAATAACCTTCTGTCAGAGTTCACCTAGATACATCTAGGAGCTTAATTTAGAAGCACTTGTTAAATTTTGGCACCTCAAAGCAAGAAATTTGACCTTTTGGGTTTGTGTTAATTTAGAAGCACTTGTTAAATTAGTATTAATTGCAACAAGCCATCATTGGATAAAAGTTACAATAGCTCACCTGATATACCACCTACTTCCATGTCTGGGAACTCATCCTGAAGAAACTCGAGAACGTTCTGAACACCCTTTGATACCATGTTCATTCCCATGGCATCCCCTGTGCCACAGCTGAACCTGATGTAAAGATTTCTCCCTGCAAGTGAGCACTGGATCTTCTGGAGCCTGGCAAATCTGCTCGATCTGCATCCAAATAGGAAGAATATGGAAAGTCAAGAATCTAAAAGATGAACAAGAGAATATTATAACTACTACTAACCCTCAATCTTACAGGGATCTGTATATGAACCATCATTATCCCTGCTGCTCCATTTAGACTCATTTCATTTCAATATTGATTAGATTAGGGGTTTTCTAACTCTAGAGGTTCTCTACATTTCATTCAAATCGCTGAACATACTAAGACTCCGAGTAAATACTGGATATTAGTGCAAGTATGCTAAGCATACCAACTCTTGGCCATTTTCAAAATGGATAAAATATTGCTCCCTACTAGTTGGTTTTGCTCATATGAATCTCTTGCTTTTATTGAATTCTATTTTTCGCCAAGTTTGGCATATATTCTAACAACTTATTGAGCAGTGAAGATCTAAAAAAATCAAGTTCATGAAAAAACAATGCAGAATTAATGAACTGAAGAGTGTATACAGTAAAGCTAATATCTCATTTCTGAATAAAAAAAGTCATATTTGCCTAACAGTTATCTGATGTTGATTTAACACCAACATAATCAATAATTATAAATATTGTATTTTTTTTTTAACAGCAAGCTGCCAGGAATCTGAAGCTAATGGGGGTAAATACAGCAGTTTTCAGATAAGAAGAACAAAAAATACAACATTTTTATGGACTAAGAAAGTGACAAGATAAATTTAAAATCTGATATAGAAAGTAACGTTGGAGGAATTAAAATTTTCTGTGGAAAAGGACTTACTTGTTGAAAACCACGGCTAAGGTATCAAAATTAGCAGGTTCCTCCAAGAAGAAGAGTAATTCCGACGCCCTGCTGGCCGTCGGGAACTTCACAACGGGGGCCCTGGTCATGCCGTCCCTGAAAAGAACGCTAGTAGCTCCGCCAGAGGCATAGATAGCTTTACAACCTCTGTTAGTACTGGCAACTAAACACCCTTCTGTAGTTGCCATGGGGACGGAATATTCACATCCGTTAAGCAACAAAGGTCCAGCTATCCCGACTGGAATTTGAACGTACCCTATGGGCATCTCACAGCACTGGCCTAAAATGGACTCGTAATCAAAACCATCAAGAGGCAAACCAGCTAGAGACCTACCCGTTAGCCTCTGAACCGCTTCGCGCCGAATGGAAGCAGCTCGGTGACAATCCCCGAGCCGAGATTCGAGGGAATAAGAAGGAATATCACCAGAAACAACAGATTTGACAAGGTCTTCATCGTCTTGAGAGGGAAGAGGTGCGGGAGGATCCATGAATCTAGATACAGAAGTGGAAATGGATGAATTGAGACAAGGAGCAGGGCGGTGATCTTGGTTAAGAAGGAAGCGAGTTTCGTCTTCGTCTTCAATATCCCAGGCGTCGTGAGATGCACGTGCAATAAATGACTGTACGAAATCAATGCCAAAAAAACCGAGGAGGTAAATGAAAGAGGCAATGAGAGAGAGAATGGCAGCGAGTTCGGAGAGAGTGACGACGTGGAGAGGGGTGGAGCTGCGGATCTTATCACGCCAGCGATAGAGAAGGTAATAAGCAACGGAGAAGAAGAGAGTGAAGAAAATGGCGTTGGTTAGGTAGAGAGGGAGAGGAAGAGCATCGGAAGCTTTAGGGGCAGGGGAAGGAGATCGACGAATGGCGGCGGAAGAAGGTTTTTGAGGTTGTTTTAGAAGATGGTGATTCCGGTGAGAGGGCTTGGGAGGTCTCCGACGGAGATCCATTCCGGCAGAAAAGAGAAGAAAAGCAAAAAGAAAATTGAAAAGTGGGGAACGGAGGAGCGATGTATTCGGGGAAATTGGAGAGAAGTTATAGTAATGGAGGGAGGGAGGGATAGTAGGGACAGGTAACAGCTGAGAGTATATGCCTGGCACTTCGTTGGGCGCTTTTTTCTACTCTAAACTTTCTCCTAATTACTTTATTAGTAATTTAATCAAATTATATTTATGTCTATCAATTTTTGTAGTAATATTTTATAGTATTGGGTTCTTAATGGGATGGCAATTCGAAATAAATTAATTAGAGACCATGATATTGTATACTTATTTCCTTACTTAACTAAACAAGTATTGTCAGAATTAGAATGTGGCTGTTGTCTTTTGCGTTGGTAAATACAGTACCTAATTTGACATTACATATTATTTCATTTGTCTCATTTACCTCATTATATTCGATCGGATATGTATGTATAATATATACAAGAATAATTTGAATTTCTCTTTCTTAAATAGTTAGGGTACATTGAATTTACTTTGTTGTTACAAAATTGGGTTATATATATTTATTTATCTTTGTTGACTAATCACTCACCATTTTTAACATGAATACGAAGAAAAATGAGGCGTAATTTTGACTTTAAACTATGCAAAATAATTTAGATTTACTGTTATTTTGCTCACCTATGCCACATGTCTATATGAATCATCATCATAGTAATAAGTTATTTGTTGAATATTTTGTAATATATAGAGATCTTAAATTGAATAGACACATTTGTTTGAGAAAGAACATTACTCTTATGAATAGTCATATGTTCTTAAAAAGAATATGAACTTTATGAAAAGTCATCTGTTCATGAAAAAACATGACTCTTATGAAGAGTGATCTCTTAAGTTCTATAAATATAAAGATTCTCTAGAAGTAGTCTCAGGAAAATCTGTATGTATACCATCCTTGAAGAGAAAGAGAATTGTTTGTATTTGCCCAAATATGTATATGGGCAATATCTCTTTTAAAAAAGTGATTACATGTCTCAAAGCTATCGTCTTCTTCAATTATATTTCCTACTATTTTTTTTCCTAACAATTTTAAAGAGATATTGGTTTGAAGTAGGTAAACAAGACAAGATCCTTGAATTCTTGAGGAAGTGGGGCAGTAAGAAAAAATTTATTTGAGTGATTTAAAGTATGATTCTAAGGCAGCAAGTCATATGACAAAAGTGAGTCAACAATGAATCACGAAGGAAATGACATATATCGGGTTCTGCTATCTTAACTTCTCTTATTATTTATTTTTGAAATTTTTTATAAATAATTTTTCAAAAGCGTTAGGATAAATAATTCACTTGTTATGATCTTGAAATGCATTTTAAATAAGTCTAGGAATATCATATTTGGTATGCTTATTATAAATTTGTTATTTGGGACAAAAAAATAATCTATTATGGCATAATTGTGTTGCATAAAGATCAAGTGAATTTTATTTTCTAGTTATGAGATTATATATGAATTCTTTATTTTGATGGATAATATCTATACTTGAAAGTTATAAAAATAATTTGAAATTAAGAGAAAGGGAAAATGCATAAGTACCCCCCTAGCCTATGCCCGAAACGAAATCCCTGAGACACACCTAACCTTTACTAAGGTCCTATTACCCCCCCCCCCCCGAACATATTTTATATATAATTTTCTACCCCTTTTCGATCTACGTGGCACTATTCTTGAAAAAATTGTCAACACGTGCTGGGCCCACAAGATAGTGCCACGTAGGCCGACAAGGGGTAGAAAATTATATATAAAATAAGTTCGGGGAGGTAATAGGACCTTAGTAAAGGTTAGGTATATCTCTGAGATTTCGAGCATAGATTGGGGGGGTACTTATGCATTTTCCCTAAGAGAAATGATAATTTTATTAGATTATTTTGTGTTCATTAAAGGTTGAAGACTTTGTCTTCTTATTAAATGCTCATGTGTTATGGTATTGCAATCTTATAAACTTGACAACAAGGTGATCTACTAATGTTAATTAGATGTGCACACAAGTTATGAAAAGAACATTTGAAACATTTAGGGATCGTTTACTAGGCAGCATTAGAAGAAATAGTGCGTGTATTATGTATGGTATTGTTTAGTACTGTGTTTGATAGAAATTTGGGCCTATGTATGAATTAGTTATACATCCTACATGGTATTATATGATGTATTACTAATACTTCAATACTATATGAAATATATAAAAGTTGAATTATATACATTTGAGTTTGTCATAGTATAAGAAGCTCGTTATAAAATTGAGAAAATGGTCAAATGACCCCCCAATCTATTAGTCAATTCTCGACTATACACTTATACTTTATGGGGGTCCTATTAACCCCCTAGACATTTTAAAAGTGGAATATATTGCCCCTTAAAAGGTCACACCCAGATTTGTGGTAAGTGGTGAGGCTGCACGCGCGATGCCACGTAAATATATTGTATTTTTTTTAATTAAAATATTATTATTCTACTTTTTTATTCTATTTCCCTTTTAAATTTGTTTTCTTTTCTATTTCAGCCCATTCTTCTTTTCTTTGACTACAAATTTTCTGCCATTAAAGTGGAAATTCCAAGTTTCATTTCTAAAACCTCAAAAAAATTAGTTTCTTAATCTTTGCTTGAATTATTTTCACAGAAGTTCTCAATTTTTTTATACAAGCCAATCTTGAATATCTAGGTTTGGTATTTAATGGGTGTTCTCCGATACGAATATTGTCGGAGTTTGGGAAGCTAAAAAATGAAGTATATTTGAATGAGATATGAATTTGATTGGTAAAATCCTTGAAAGTTTACGAATTTTCAAAGCCGTAAACATATTGATTTGGTTCACAACAATTTAAAAGGAGAAAATCTTCAGGGTTGTTCATGTTAAAGAATTTGATGTTGATATACTTGTATAGTAATCACTAATCAACTTTCAGATCTGATTTGAATCTGGGTTTCTTCAATTTTGTGTGTTGTTATACTTGAGTATAAAAATTTAGCTGTAAAAGATACTAATTTTGACTTTGATGCTTTGTTATTTATTTACTCAACTGAGTTTCCTCAATATTGTTTAATTTTGTGTTTTTGTGCTTCAACTTATGAACACTTAGCTACGCAAAAGTGTTGATTTTTAATTTGATCTCGTATTCTCCTAATTTTTTCAAGTGAAGTCAATTTCTTTTGAAAAAAGAAGAAGAAAGGAGATAGCGTTAGTAGTAACTATTATTAACAGTGAGGTGATTTCATACTTTTTTCAGACAACTTAAATCAGACGGAGTGTTGAAGAGATAGAGAAAGAAGAGAAAGAAAATAAAATGGAAAAGATAAATAAATAAATAAAAAGTAGCATACATAAATTTTAAAAAAAATCAGAAAATTAATATGAAAAAGAAAAATAAGAAAGTTTGCATCTGAGTCTCTTTGAGAAAGTGAATTACACTTTCTTTACCAACTCAGCATTAGGGAGTAAATAATTCTACTAGAAATAGTTTAAGGGAATAATAGGACCCTCCTAAAATATAAGTGTGTAGTTGAGAATCTACTAATAGAATTGAGGGTCATTTGGCCATTTTCTCTTATAAAATTTGTTATGGATAATGCAAGAAGATTGATAATGAAGTTGAGTCGATGGAGTTTTAATAAAAGTAAAAGTTTAGCTTGTTAATTTAGTTGATCATCGTTTAAATTTATGGTGTTTAGTCAATAAGGACAAATATAACTCATTGATAAAGATAAAGATGGATTTGGTCTTAATTATTAACTAAAGATACATTTTAATTATTTCGCGAAGTGTTAAAGAATTTTTTTGACCCAATTTGACATGTAAGCAAGTATGGGAGCTTATAAATTATATTATATATTTAAATGGATAGCAATGAGAGATTTGCATATTCTTTTTTCTAACATTAAGCGGGTATCACCAAGTCATATATATTTTAGAGAAAATTTGAGAAATAACAAATGTAATAGACATAATAATATTTGATAGCTATAGTTTCGATAATTATGCTCTATAGCAATAATTATGTTTGCTATGGAGCTTGTTATTTGTATATTTTGCTTGCTCATTTGTATTTTGGATTGCGAATATACAAATATGGTAATTATGTACAAATTCTGTATTCATACATTTAGGAATTTTCAGAACTCTGTTTGTATATTTCGCTTGCCAATATACAAACAGGGTAATTTATTTGAATATTTCATAAACTGTATACAAATAGCTAGGCTAAACATATATACAAATTCTGAATTTATACAATTAGTAATCAAATTATACAAAATTTTGATTTATACAATCATACAAACTATTCAAAATTAAACAAATAGCAAGATTTAAAGAAACTATGACTGCAAATAACAATTTTCTAAAACAACGTAGCTATAGTTTTTAATATCATTTAAATATTTGCTATACAATTTTCCCTATATTTTATTAGGGATTTGTTTGATTTATATGCTTAGTTACGCAATTTTTTTTATAGAATTGATGTGGCCGTGATTAAAGATATAAGAATGATATAAATAAAATAATAATAAAAGAATTGTTAGGTAGAGATTAATTTTTTTTAAACCTTTTATCTTTAATTACTTTCATTCCATGTATTTTTATCTTACATTCAATTTCACATAAAATAATATATAGAATTCCACCTAAGTTAATATTTAACAATTCCAACCAAAAAGGGATTATTTTGTTTTTGTTGAAAGGGAGAAAGTATATATAGTTATTCTTTTCGTATGTTGCGATTTAGTAAGAAGCAATAAATGACACAACCAATATTGTAATTAAGTTTCTCACAAAATGGAAAGAAAAAATAATTCTTCTAGAGTATAAAACAAATTAAAGAAAAGTTAATTGGCGGTTGTTTGGCGAATTCTATTTTCATATTAAACATTGTTTTGACTTGTAAACCTACACGGAAAAGGATATATAGTTAATGGGCTAATCTCTCTATATAATATAAAGACGTTGCAAATAAGCTTTTCATTGTTTTAGTAAACTAATAGAGTAATAGTGAACAACTCACCAGTTCTAATGGACACAACCATAATTAGAAAGTCGCATTCAATTTCCGTGGAGAATAGAAGCGTCGTGACAATATTGTATATGTTCGCCTTCAACTCATCCAGGTTCATTCCGTTGCCACGGGTCATTATCATATGCGGCAATGGGCAATCACCAATTCACACATTAGGTATAAAGGTGAATTGGTAAAGAATGCATGCACGCACTTGATTCGCCCTTCATCACATGATAATCAAAGACGTACACTCAATTTTCACCCTAGCTAAGTCTAGTAGGTTCTCCATACTATCTAAGGCCCAACATTCAGAGTTGTAATAATTTCACATTCAGCAGATACAATTCATGTGCTTGTAATTGATCAACTAGTTTTTTGGTTTATTTCACTACTTTTGGATGTTCAAATATGGCAATTTCCAATTACATACATCTGATTAATTCTATTCATATTAATTGCTCTTTTAAAACTTTTAATATTCACATGAACATCAATAATGTACTTAATTATATATATATTCTTGTTATGGTTATCCCACAGTTATAATTATTAAATTCATATTCATGTTTGGAATAGATCGACTTCACATAATCCTTATCCCATTACGAGTGTTATTTTCTCTTATTAATATTGGGAGTCGATGATCACCTATGTATCTATTCTACATGTATGTTGTAGTAAAGTGAAATTATCTGCAACTCTTTCTTGATAACTATATATGGGATAACCTTAGATATAGTTATCCAAGCAGTTCCAATTCAAGTAAGTGATGTATATATATAATTAAATTAAAGTACATAAACATAATTATTTTATAAGAATATTTTATTATGTGTGTATAAAGATGAACTATAATTCCAGCGTCTAAATTTTAACACCATTTTATTATGATATGTTTGATTTTGTTTAGCATGCTGTTGCTGAGTTCTCCAGTCACAGCTGCGTGCTGTGGACGTGAATGTACAGTTGCATGCTACACTAAATATTTCAACACAATAAAATGTGAATCTACTTGAATATTAACAAGGAATATAATTGTTGGACAAATAATTGTAACATATTGAAAATCACCAACAAGACTCCTATATGAGTCGCTACAACTATGTAAGATAATTTTGTAATTAGTTTTGAAGAAACTAACCGCTAATATGAGTTTATATGAAAAATCTTAAGATGTAAAGCATTTTGGTTTAAGTTCTAACTTGGGCTAATTAATTAATACTATATCATTAAAATATTTTACAATAATTATAGTGTTGATGTATGGATGATTGTAATGGTTAATAGTGAGAGCCTGTTTGGATTGACTTAAAAAGGTAGTTTTTAAGTCAAATAATAAGTCAAACTGATTTTAAGTCAAAAAATAAAAAGTAGGGGGGAACCTACTTTTAATTTTTGATTTATTTTAAGTCTTTTTTGACCTTACCAAACACTTTCTAATTTATTTTAAGTTATTTTTCATATTTGTCAAACACTTTCAGAAGTAAAAAATCGACTTAAAAGTAGATACCAACTTTTAAGTCAATCTAAACACCCTCTAGTCATTAGTAATAATAATATGTTTTATTTTATCAATCAGGATTTATATTTTCTTTTTCATTAATTTTATTTTGAATCTTGACATTTTAGAGCCATTTTTACTTCAACCATTGACACTCCTTCAATTGGTTTGATTGTTTGTAGTTATGCTAAATCATTATAGAGTCATTAAGATATTGACATTATAGAGCCATTTTTACTTCAACCAATGACACTCCTTTTATCGGTTTGACCGTTTGTAGACATGCCAAAACAATTATAGAGACAATAAGATATTGACTTATTATTTATTGATTGTTATCGTTTTGGTTATCGGTTTTAATCGTTAAGATTTGACACAAAAAAATTATTGAAAATCACTTAGAAACAAGGTGACAAACCAAATGAACCATGCAAATGAGTTTACAAATTGTATCTTGCTCAAAAGCAAACACTTTTACATTGTTGAATAAACCAAGAGTTTGAGACGACCATAAATAAAAGTATGAAATGAAACTCTAAGTCAAAGACTTTATATACAAAATGGTATATATATAATTATTTAATTTACTATCGGGTTATCGATTAAACCATTAGAAAAAAAAATCCTCAAACTGTTAAGAACCAATAAGCCTATAACAAAAAATATCAAAATCGTTAAATCAATAACTCATTAGCGATAAACCATGACTCTAACTGACTTTGACTATTTAAAGGATTAAAATCAATAAATATATATTCTAATTAAGGGACTAAAAATAAGTATATAATTAAAAAAAATTGATAAGTTTTGAATAAATTAAAGGATTAAATCTATAAAAATACTCACTTCGTCCACTTTTAATTGTCATATTGTGTTTTTTTGAAAGTCATATTGTGTTTTTTTGAAGTTAAATTAGATTAGACTAATTTGATATTTTAAACAAAAAATATAGATATTCAAAAACTATATAAAAAATAGTGTAGATTGAATTTCTTTTATATATCAATATGATAAAAAATACACTTCAAAAGGTTCATCAAAATTGTTATAATTAAACTAAAATAAAATAAAATATGACAATTAAAATTGAACGTTTAATAATTAAGATACTATTTTAGAAGTAGTCCACCGTTTAGTGTGAATGTTCCGGATGAGGTATTTGGAGTAAAGACGAGAAAACAAAAGAAGAAATTACAATCGCAGAGTTATGGCGTTGATGGCGGAGAAATCCAGAGTGTGTGTAACTGGCGCAGGTGGATACGTGGCTTCATCGCTAGTTAAGCTTCTACTTTCTAAAGACTACATTGTTCATGGCACCGTCAGAGATCCTTGTAAGTTTAACTCTTTTTTTTAATACCTAAAAACACTCTGTTTTTGTTCTTCTTCTTAGTTTTCAAACTAGGAGTACTAAGTTTAGACGTTTATTTCAATGGAATTGAAGATCCCTAAGAAATCAATCTCAATTCCATTTAATTTGCAGCTGATGACAAGTATGCTCATTTGAAGAACCTTGATAAAGCTGCTGAGAACCTTAAGCTCTTCAAGGCAGACTTGCTAGATCCCAACTCGCTTGCTGGAGCCATCAAAGGATGCAATGGAGTATTTCATGTTGCTTGTCCAGTTCCTTCGGGATCTGTACCAAATCCCGAGGTATGAATCTGCTACCACCTATTAAATTACTCCCTCCGTCCCTATTTACTTGTCCATATTTCCTTTTTTAGTTGTCCCTGTTTAGTTGTCCATTTTGACAAATCAAGAAAGGACAACAAATTTTTTCCTATTATACCCTTATTTACACTTCTTGAAAATTGTAAAAGTGTATGTTGTTTCCCTCCAATTTATTTCACTTGAATTCAAATAAGTGGTTGTAATTTTGAAGTGAAAAGTTGTCATAAGGGTAAAATTGTAACTTCACTGTGCTAATCATTGTTGCCTTAATCTGTGTGCCATTTCTAAAGTGGACAACTAAAAAGGGACGGAGGGAGTATTGACAAAGCTAGGATCTCTAAATATCTAAAACAAAGTAAACTAATAAACCGGGACAAGCCAATGAATTCAAGGTTGTGACGTTTTGTCTAGTGATCAATGAAGTGGATGCAAAGTGCAAACCTTGCACCAGGGTTCAAATCTCAGTAGTTACAAAAATACTTTGGTGATTTTCTCCATATGGTTAAACCTTGGTGCAGAATTACCTGGTATGGGTGCTAGACTGCTAGTGGGAGGTAGAAGGTACCCGGTGGAAGAGTCCAAGTGCACACAAGTTTTGCCCTGACACCATACATGTCCTGTGGTTTAGATATTATCAGCTTATTCACTTCGTTGATATTAATCACATCCTGTGGTTTCAGTTTGTAAATCTCCAGACATTAGTGGAATCTTTATGAGCAGTCTAGAATAGTGATCTTAGCACATGTTATTAGTTGTTGAAAGCACTTAGAGGTGTCTTTCTACAAAATGAAGGACAGGACAGTGAATTTATATTGGGATTTTATATGATGTAATGTTTAAAAAGATCTTTTCACGGTGATTAATACTTGCAATAAGAGACACTTCTATGGAGCTTCCCTATTTGAGAACCTAAGACATTGGGAAATCTGGTGCATCCAGGAGACAATTGTATAGTGATCAACATTTCTAGGTTGCTTTCAAAACAACTATTGCTCTAGTTCTGCACCAAAGAAAAAAAGAAAGTAAAATTCTTCATATGTTCAATGTCTTGATTGCAGGTAGAACTTGTTGAGCCTGCAGTGAACGGCACACTTAATGTTCTGAAGGCATGCTCTGAAGAAAACATCAAGAGGGTTGTGTTTGTGTCTTCTGTTGCTGCTGCTTCCTTGGACCCCAACTGGCCGAAGGGCAAAGTGAAGGACGAGACTTGTTGGTCGGACAGTGAATACTGCAAAGCAACTAATGTAGCTTCTTTTAACGATGCGAGTTTGCGAATTTCACTTCTGTGTACATTTAAAATTATTAGTCATGTTTCTTACATATGATACTTAGTGTTGGTAAAATAATATATGGTCTGTATCTTGAATACCTAATTTACTTGTGCAGTGTCCTGTTTGATTGGCTTAGTTATTGTAAGATGAATTTGCATTGGACTCTTGAATGCTTATTTTGCTAGAGCAGCTTCCTATCTGATTGCATTTTGTGGTTCCAAATGCATGCAGAACTGGTACTGTTTTTCTAAAACGATGGCTGAGAAAGAAGCTTGGTCATATGCAAAGAAAAGTGGACTTGATATGGTAACTGTGCTCCCAGCACTTGTTGTAGGGCCAATGTTACAGAAGACAACAAATGCCAGTAGCTTGGCTCTCATTAAGCTGCTGAAAGGTACCAAGAAACCATAGTTGTACTTCACTGTTTTAATGTTTCTGCATCATTTCTTCTACTTCTACATTTCTGCTTGCGTGAGTTGCTCATTGGGGAGTAATCAGAATTCACTTTTCCCACAAGCTTCTTAATTGCTTTTCCTTGAGAGCACGAACTGTTGTTCATACATTTAGCATGCAGTTTTGTGTTTTGTTAATTTTTTTACATATGCTTTAAAGTGTTACGTTGATATATATGTGTAACTATAACAAAGTTTTGTCATATATGACTTTTGGTTATCCAAGTTACTTGGTGGTTGACTATAAGTAAGAGATCATTGAAAGCATAAACAGTGATGTCTAGTTATCTTTGAGGCATATTAGCTGAGCCGCAAGAGGAAATTTCTAGAATATTGTTTGTCCATGTAGGTGGACTAACCTGAAATCCTGAATCGGTGTGCAGCTTTTTGGCGCATATGAGACACTGAGTTTAGGTTTATTGTAGTTTTTCATGCTTTATATGTTAGTTAGTGGCAGCTAAGACTTTTTGTCCATAACATTTGGTTAAATTTATTATTTCAAATTCAGTGCACTAGTGAGTGAGTTCTTCCTTATGTATACATTCACTTTATACCCCTAGATGCTTTGGACAACTGCCTAAAGCCTCTCTATTTTAAATTACTTGCACAATTATTTGATATGACAGAGAGACATTGTAATTTAAGTTATGTGCTGTATTGGTCATTTGGAAAAGCTTAGTAGGCCAGTTTGTGATAGTGCTGGTTAGAAGCATTTCTCAGGTGTTTTTTTGGTCATCCTTCTACTCTAGTGTTTCAAGCATCGCTTTTGCTATGGATTCTCGAGTGTATTGCCTTGTTAGATAAATGACCTCCTAGCTACTGTGCACCAACTGCTACGTACTAAGCTTCATGTTTAATGGTAGTAAATGTTAATTTCTGTGTAGAACGAGTTGACCTATTAGTCATGGATATTATAAATAACTGGTTCAGAGTCTAAGAATATAGAACATTTGCTGAAATAAACAAAGTTTCACCTAAAGGTGTATACCTCACTCCATCACTCCATACCCATTTTTTCTAATTCAGAGTGAAAATAAACAAAATTTCACCTAAAGGGATATACCCCCCCCCCCCCCCCCATTTTTTCTATTTCAGTGGGAACAAGGTATTTGCTCTTTCTCCATTCACCTCGAGATTTATTACCTAAAAGGAGCGCAAGCACTTAAGTAATTATATCTACTTATTTTTGTATCATCTGAGTTGCTTTGCATTTTTTTATGCTAAAGGTTTCATGTGTTGTTTCTGTGCTTTTTATGTATACTTTTTTTGCTTGAAGTGACTGATGCCATTTCTTCTCTTTGTGTTGTTGATACAGAAGGATACAAAGAGCTGGAAAACAAGAAACGGTTTTTGGTAGACGTACGTGATGTAGCTGAAGCCTTACTGCTAGTGTATGAGAGACCTGAAGCTGAAGGTAGATACTTGTGCGCAGCTCATACTGTGAAATCAGAAGATTTAGTTGCCATGCTGAAGAAACACTATCCCAACTACAACTATCCTAAATGGTGAATTTCTCTCCTTTCCACTTTATGCTTCTTTATTGGGAACCTAGTGTCCTATTTCCTGTGTCTAGTTTAAGAGTTGCAGGAAAAAAAAAGCAGCTTAAGGAAATTGGGACTTCTCATATGGGTATTTCATTTCTTATTTCCAGTGTGTCTGGTTAAGAAATTACAAAAAGTAGTGAACTTGGTCTATTTGATTAAGTATATTGATAAATATCCTTGTGTTACCTTGCCCACTAGTGATATTGTCCACTTTGGATCTAGGACCACACAACTTTAAAATGCGTTACCCAGAGATATGCTGGAAAAACCCTTAGACCCTAGTGAAACATTTTAATCTGTGTAGGCCTAGGCTCAAATCGGACAATATCACTAGTGGACGGCGCTCTTACACTTGTGCATAGAAGTTGCTCGTATATCTAAACCTGTTGTCCTAAATGTATTTTTTATTTTACAGTTTTACCGATATGACGGAGGATACAAATTTTAGTTCAGAGAAGCTGCAGAAGTTGGGTTGGCAATATAGGCCACTGGAGGAAACTCTAGTTGATGCAGTTGAAAGTTACAAACAAAAGGGCTTTCTGGATTGAAGTTTGCTTGTTGTAATACTTTGTACTAAATAATTGCTATGCATGTCTTTCAAGTTCATACACTTGCAAACTAGTATCTATAATACATAGTCTGGAATAAGGAGGTTACACTATACCCCTTTTGAGTTCTATCCAGTTGTTTTATTTTGTGCTCAACTTAAAAAAAGTACAACCTTGTATTTCTATTCCTAGAGCTTATGAGAATGTATCTTTAGTAGCTGGTGTTTCTAGTGAAGGTGCTTGGCGAATTTGTCTATCGTTACTTAAATTGGCGAGCTTTTGGACATTTTCGATATGAACAGAACATTTGGACTAGGTATTGCCAAGAAACTGAAAATCAAGACAAATTGAAGAACCTTCCCTAGAGAATAGGTACTATAAGGACACATTTCTGTTGTGCGACAGAGAACAAGCAAATTCTGAAGTTGTAGTAAACATTACTCCACTATTGAACAACTGTTCATTTAGGTGACACTATACATTGAAATTTAAAGATTCAAATTATAAGTTGCTACAGTTGGCATACTATATAAGAAGGGGGCAGGTAGGGAAGTGTTGGAATGAAAATCACAAAAATTGGGGCTAATAAAGTGAAAAAGAATGACAAATTGGAGGAACACAAAGTAGGACCATCAGAGTATGAAATGAGCTTTTTACGGAGTAATAATCAACTCGTATTCACTATGTCAATTTTACATTTCAATTTATAAAATAATTATATAGACACCTTCAAAAGATATACTATATGCTTACTTATCAGCTGAATTTAAGTCGGGATTTTAAAAAAAATTCGTTGAAGAAGATGGCCAGCTGCCCAAAGCTGACCTGCCACTGCCATGCTAAAAAAGAGAGTATAAAGCCGTTAAGGAGATGTTTTTTCTTTTGACAGTGTAATTAAAAACGATGATGATTGAGTCACTTGCTTCTCCTTCTATACCTCTTCTACTATGCTCTGTTTTTCTCTCTCTCCATCATTTCTCACCAATTCCAATTCCAATTCCAATTCTTCAAAATCCTTTATTTTTTTACTGTTCCACTTCTTAGGATCCACCATGAATGCTTATTACCCTCTGTTTTATTCATAACTTTTTCTCTCTCTCTTCTTGTATCATCATGACCCAGTTTCTTCACCTTTTTACCCCACCCAACCCCTCTTCTGCTTCTTCTTACTCTGCTCTCTTGTACAGCTGATCCACAACACCCCCTCCTCTCCAAAACCCCACCTTGACCCCCCTTCTGCCTTTTGACCTACTCCTCTCTTTTTTTCCACCCTCAGTTCTAGGGTTTCCTTTTTTTTTCTCTTGATCCTTTGTGTTCCGCTCTTCCTCTTCCTGCTGCTCTATAGCTCTCTCCTCAAACACCCTTTTCTTGTTTTTGTATATACATGTACCATCTTTTCTGCCATTTTTAGGGGGTTTTCTGTTTATAAGAGGTGGGGTTTTCACTGGATCAACTTTAGTATAACGTGAATAGCTTCTGTTTTCTGGTCTACTTAGTTCTCCTATATCTTCTTAATCAAATTGGGTAGTGGGTTATGGCGTATCAACAGCAGCCACCAGCTCAGGGTTCAGGTTCCTCTGCTGCTGGTAGTGGGGTTCCATTCTTTAATTCTCCTTTTGGGGACACCACCTTCACTAAGGTCTTTGTTGGAGGTCTTGCTTGGGAAACTCAGAGTGACACCCTCAGACGATTCTTTGAGCAGTTTGGTGAAATCCTCGAGGCTGTTGTCATCACTGATAAAAATACTGGCCGATCCAAAGGCTATGGCTTTGTGAGTGTCCTTCAATTGCCTTCAATGTTTTATAGTACTACTTGTTTACTGAATTTGAAAAGGATACAGCTTTTTTACTATCTTTTGTTTTCTTTTCATTTTACGGATCAAAAATGGTTCTTTTTTGAAATTCCATCTTAATCTCCCATTTTTTTTACAGCTAGGTGATATAACATCCCTTATTTGCACTGTCTATTGTCGGTCACTTCTGGCTAAACCATTTAAATTGTCTGTCTTTTACTTAGCTATTAAGCTGCATCTAGGAATTTGGATAACTGAATGACATAATTTCCGCTGCATCTAGGAATTTGGATAACTGAATGACATAATTTCCGCATGGTATTTTTTTGGAGGGTTTAGGTGACTTTCCGGGACCCTGAGTCTACAAGGAGGGCATGTGCTGATCCTGCTCCAATTATCGATGGGAGACGGGCAAATTGTAATTTGGCTTCGTTAGGGCGACCTCGGCCTTCTGTGCAATTTGGTATTGTAGCTTATTTTGGTTGAATGCTCTGTTATATTTCTATAACAATAATAATAGTGTTGGACCATGGAGTTGCTTTTGCATATCTTGGGCGTCTGATGAGCTCTATATTATATGTAGTGTTGCTGGATGGCTTGTTCTCCCTTCACTTTCAATTGTATTAAGCTTGTAGATTGCTTTTAATTTGTGCACATTTGCATGCACTCCCAGTTAATACAAGACAATGTATGATCCATCTTAAGCTATGAACTATCATTGGTGGAGATTTTTTTTTTTTTTTGATGACCGTGGTGTCCAGGCCAGCTTTTGCGCACCTTGACTAATTCCACGGGATACTTGCCACCTCCCACCAGCAACAACATTGGTGGAGATATTATTAAGATGGTGAAATGGAAAATTGAGGGAGAAAGGTAAGAAAGTGCATTTAAGTTGTTACAAGTAAAAATAATTTGAGAAGATAAGCCTTAGGATTGATACACAGTGGTGGAATGACGACAGTACGAGGAGTAATAAGATGCTAAGATCTGGAAAATAGAGTTGAAGTTCTGTATTGTGATAATCTCTCATCAAACTGAAGTAGACAATGCATTAGACATGTCTGCTTTTTGGGGATTTTGTATAATTTTATCTTTAAGAGATTGTGGTACATGGTTTAAAATGAGAAATAAAGTGATGTGAATAGGTCTCCTTGATCAAACGACTGAACATCATGAAGTGCATGTAATCAATAACTTTGCTTCAGAACACTCTCTAGTCTTTTTTCCCGAACTTACAAGAATTCATCCCTCATCACAAGGTGACACAGTGATCTTTGCTCCTTCAATAATTTCCTTGTTTGCATGGCTGTTTTTTTTGTAACATAACAGTGCAAGTATGTTTTGACAACCTTTTGGCTTGGCCCTATACCATCTACCTTCTTGGTGGATGGCGGAGATTTTCTCTTCGACTTCTCCAAAATTGATTGTGTGGAAAAGAATACATTGCTAGCACACTTAATCAATTACTTATGTGACCATTTGCATAATCAATGTGAGAGCTCTTTCCTTGGCTTCTCTCTAACACATTGATAATCTTTGAAACTAGAAGCTGCAAAGTTCCATTACAGGCCCATTTATATGAAAAATTGTAAAGCTGCCTGAGAATTGTTGTAAAAACATCTATAAGGATCACCTCCTTTTCGAAGGATCCTGCAAATATCGATTCGTGGCTGGTTATGTGTTTGACTGAGATCTCAGATGTTCAGCTTAAAATAATGACACCTAACCATTTTATACCTTTTCAGGGCACATCCTACCCTGATAAAAGGGAAAGAACTGAAAAGAAAAAGGATGCTCGCTCTTTGAAGTGCATTAGCTTACTTCCACTTTATTTGGTACAGGACGTCTGAGGTCATCGACTCCATTTCCAGCAGGGCTACCCGCTGCTCGGGGTGCTTATTCTGGAAGTTTTGGCTACCAGCAACCGGTTTCTTATGGCTACCAACAAGGCTTGATGTATTCTCCTTATGGGTAAGCTGTGTGTCACAGGCATGCTTACTCTCCACAATCTATATATAAATTTGGAAGAAAAATGACTATTTATAGACTATGCAAGCACTGATTCATTTATGGGTTATAGTAGAATCATAGAGGAAAACATCCAGTAACAAGGAGAAAGGAAGGTTCAATTAATTAACGTTGGAGCATACTGTCTCCTAGTTTTTGCTATCGATTCTTGAATTGTCGTTGCATTTAGGATTATAAGTTTGTGGGAGGCCCAAGCTTGAGTCCGTTCATTATTGAATTTCATGAGTTTCTTATTTGCATGCCGAATAAGTAGTTTCTCTCTTTTTACTGAGAAACAGGAAAATTTCATCCTATTCACTGAGAGAGAACCATTTTACTTAATTTGCTGAATTTACTTTTAAAATAGTTAATTTAATTGATAGACCTTAGGACTTCATGTCAATCAGTCATTTGTTTGTACATTTTATCACATAGCGTATTTGTGTGTATTGCATTTAAAAGCACAACTTTTAGAAGATACAGTTACCTCTGTATTACTAATGCAGGTATGCAACATATGGTGCGGATTACGTTTACCCTCAGGTTAGTAGCACTGCATAAATGGAGACATTACAATACATCCCTTTCTTTTTGCTGCAGTAAAAAGGTTCAAGTGTCCTTTTGTCTTGACTATGAGGACTCATTTTTGATGCATACTGTAATTTTATCCGATAGGGTGTTTACAATCCTTATGGAGGTCAACAGTACCTTCCTATATATGGTGTACCTGGAACTGTTAACGCAACAATGTATCCTTACGGCCAGCTAAGTCAGGCTGTTCCTGGAAGTCACAGTTATACGACATTGCAGGGTTATGCAGTGCCAGGACATCAGATTCTTCAGTTTGGTGGGCCCGGTGTCAATGCAATGACAGCTTCATCCATTCCAACTATACAAGCACCATACCAAACAGGCAGATCTCTTTTATTTGTGTCTTATATATGCATGCATGGTAGCCTTGCATATCATATTATCATTGACATTAATCTGCATTCCAAATTTATCAAGATGTCTGACATCTAGAAAAAACAGCCTCCCACAAAGATAGGGGTAAGGGGCTGCGTATACCCCACCCACCCCAGACCCCACTTGTGGGGTCACACTGGGTATGTTGTTGCTGTATGACATCTAGAAAACATGCTGGAACCTCATCTATTTCTGTAGCCTCAGTTCCAAGTCTTGCATAAGATTGCAAGTATGAAGTTGGCAGTATCATAATGCAACTGTTTTTTTATTTTTAGGTGTCGGAGCGCCTGTTACACCACAGACACAGTTTATACTACCTACTCATTCTCCTCAATTTATGCAAGGTAGCGGTTCTGACCAAAATGCAGGGTGAGATTTTATCAAGGTAAGTGGTAATTCAGACCCGACTGATGAAATAGCCGCGACATATTTGCTTCTGCAAGTTGCAACCACAATTTCTTTGTTGATGTTTGTGTTCTACTTTTGACTTTTAGGTACTAGATTGCAGCAGGACTAACAGCAGCAGTATTGCTACTTGAGAGGCAGGCTTTTAATCTAGCCTTGCAAATTATTCACTTTGCATTCTCGAGGTACTAGATTTGGCTTTGTTTTAACCTCAATTGTTTCCCTTGAGTTTGTCCATGCTTCCCTACCCCCTTCTGCATCTTTATCGATTATTCTTTTTTTTTTTGGGTGTGTGTGGTGGTGGTGGTTAAGTTCAATTGCATTTATGAGGTAATATGAGGACCAAAACAGAAAGCAGGTATCTTCTCTATGCAAATGACCGTATGTTAAAATCATTATATGGCTTCACTTATCCAAAAAGAAAAAAGAAAGCATCATTGTAGGACCTCTTTCTTGGCGGGGACCTTCTTTGCCTGATTAAGAATACTGGGTTTGGGCTAAAATGTTACCTGTTGTGTTACAAGAACTCCCAAAGATGGTTTTCAATTTTCAGTAAATTCTTGATGATGATCTTCCTCGAATTGCAACCTACTGTGTCTGACAGGTATAATTACATATCAGATGGAGATGACAGATATTTGGTAGTTCTTTCTCGTTGTTGTCTTTATCTTGCTACGCACATTTGATTTTTGAAGTGTTTAATAGTAGTCAATGTTGTATCTTCTTATCGTAGTGATTTTAACAATCTCTAATGGCGTTCAAAGAAGTAGTCTCTTTCATGATTAGCTCAATTACTTTTTTCATTTGGTGCCAGCTTATATTTGCATTAAGTATTTGAATTTGTTTAAAGGTCCTTTATGTGGCAAGCAGTCCCGTTTTAGTGCCATTTGCATGTCATCAATATGAATTGAAGCTGCTGAGGAGAATTAATGAAACTCTGAAATAATCTACTAATTTGATATGCAGCCCTTTAAAAAAAGGAAAAAGAAACTAAAAGTAAGTTGTGTATGTAGATTATGGAAGATATATGGACTGCAGCAAGGTTATCCTTCTCCTAGATATCACATATTAAAAAGCTATCAAACCTTTTCTACTATTTGTAGTCTTAACGTCATTTGCCTTGATGCAGGTTATAAAAAGTCATACCCACCATGAGAGCTCAATGTCTGAGTCGCTCCTGATGATTGAGTGAGGAAACATGGAAGTTGCGGATTGCACTTCCTTCAACATCATGTATCTAGGCCCTTGCATTCTGCTGGTGTCAGGATAACTGGCAGAGAGTCAGTGTCATCATGCATTGGAGGGATACTGGAATAGGTTTCTGGCTCCCTCCTTGTAGCAATAAACTTTGTAAAAAATTCATATCAGAATCAATCAATGATTCAGTTATAGTTAAAAACTCCCAGAATATGCTTTTGGGTGTGTAGATAGTCACTGTCTTGCGTGCTGGTGCATCATGCACCGTGTTTGAAAGTATTCTCAAGTCTTGTGCATAAAAAACAAACAAGCTTTAGTCTTAAAGTTCAGATTCATTCTGTAATTTGGATGTTTTATTGATGATTCTTGAAGCAAGAAGCTTCAGGTTCATAAGTTATTATCACCAAGGTTGGTGTGACATGACCATAATTTGGAACATTTTGGGTGCAAATCAGTGTTGCATCATTTATTTGTCTTCATCCTGTTTGGTACAAGAAGAAGAAACTCACAGCAGACTTTGCTACTGAATACAAGAATGCAATAATCCTCTCAAGTTTATATTCCCCTTTTCCCAATTCTGTTGAATATTAACATCAACCATGTCAATGTCTCAAATTTGTGTTTGCTGTTTCTTTTCCTATTCAAATCTAGTGTTGTTGTCTCATGATTTAAGTGTCAATCAAATTTGATATTTGCTTATTTCTTAAATAGAAATAAAGGATAGTTTAGTGATTTAGGTTATATTAGTTGTCTTTCTTAAGGACTGCAAATAAATTCACATCTTCATAGAAGGTATTATTCTGAAGAAATGTTTAGAGGTATCAATCGGTTGATCCGATTTTATATATTATCGGTTTAGTTTATTGATTTTTAAATAATCAAACCAATAAGATATTTTTTTTTAACAATTTTCGTTCTTAACAGTTTGATTTTTGGTTTAACAAATAAGAAAATGAAATATATGACTTTTCCAATAATTTGATGCGACAAGACAATAATGTAATTTTACAAAACACTCATTAAATAAAAACAATAATAACTAACATGAAAAGAACAACACAAGTGCAACACATAGAGTTCTTATTTTAGATTTTGACATTTTGTATGATATGAAGTTGTAAATTCAAAGTCACTATGAAATGTGAATTGAAGACTAAAGGGCAAATGTAGTAACAAAAGTAAGGTAAGGACAAATACAGTAACAAGTAAGGTACCAAAATTATATTTAATTATTTATATAGGGGTAAAGTAGCAGATTACTATAGTTTTAAGTAGTAAATTAATGGGTTACCGGATTATCTAATAACCTTATATTAAAAACCAAAATCGAATCGATACCATGACAAATTTTACATATATATATTAAATTATTAAAAAACTCATTAATCCATTAAATAATTGAGAGATTATTTAAATGGCTGCACCGGGTGTTTACACCAAACCAATATATGCATGTCATGTGCTTCAATTTATAGTTCATTTTACCTAATCATAATTAATAATAAAAATTGTATTGACTTGATGTATGCACCCGGTGCGAGTAAGTTTTTTCTAAGTTATTCATATAAAATTAATAGGAGGTTTGAGTTGTAATTTAGAAGATGAAACCAATTAATATATGCACAAGTGAATTAAATGTGTTTTTTATTATTATAAAAGGCACAAGCAAACCCATTTACCGTATTAATTATTGGGAAACAAAAAAAAAAAACTATTGGTCAAAATAAAATCTAAACCGGTTGTGCGTTTCATCTCACAAATGCCCTGAGACGACACTTGTCTAAATTCTAAAGCTTCAACATGCCGGAATCCGGCGAAATCAAGTCACCGGCGGCTAAATCTGACCCTCAAACTACCTCTCCGCCACCGTCTCAAATACCGTCGCAACCACAGACACAGCCGCAGCAACCTCAAGCGGCAGCTTTGCCACTAAAGCGTCCCCAACAACTGGAATCGTCCCCAAACCCAACCACCCCGTCAGTCACCGATCCCAAAGACGTCACTCCCACCACTATCTCCTCCCGAATTACTGAACCTGATTTCATCTATATTCCCAGTTATTCCCGTAAGTCCCATCTACTTTTCAGCTTTTCTTTTAAAATTTGGTTCTCATTTTTCTGTATTTTTAGGGTGGAATGGGTATAGATGATTCGTATAGTCACTTGATTAATTGATGTTTGGGTGTTCTTCTTTTAGGTTGGTTTTCATGGAATAGCATTCATGAATGTGAGGTTCGCTTTCTTCCTGAATTCTTTGATGGAAGGTCGCCTTCTAAGAACCCTAAGACATACAAATACTATAGGAATACTATTATTCGTAGATTCAGAGATAACCCCACTAAAAAGATAACCTTTACTGAGGCTCGCAAGACCATTGTTGGAGACGTGGGCTCAATTCGTAGGGTTTTCGATTTCTCAGAGACATGGGGTTTGATTAATTACACTGCTAACTCTTCCAAGTCTCTGATCAAGTGGGAGGAAAAAGAGTCTAAGTCAACGTCTGCCTCAGCTCCGCAAAATGCCGACGCTAATGGAACGTCCACTGATTTTACTCTCCCCAAGAAAAGAATCTGCAATCTCTGCAAAACAGTTTGCAGGATTGCTTGTTTCGCTTCTGATAAGGTGATTGCAACAGTCTTCTGCTTTAGAGTGTTTGGTTTATCTTGTTTATTCGTAAGTTAGAAGGATTAATTGGTATCTAACAACCTTTTGAATCAAGTTTGAATCTTTTAACTTCTCCTCAGTTGATTATGCTTACTTTAGCTCTCACATCTCAGTCTATAGCTTCATACTTTTCATAGCTCATGGTTTCTATTTAAAAAGTTCTCTTCTTTTATTTTTTTTGCTTAATCCTAAATGGCAATTTACTTGAGGTGTTGGTAGGGCTTGTTGCTATTGCCGAAGATGAGTTTACTTCAATTTTTGTTTGTTTAAATGCAGTATGATTTGACTCTTTGTGCAAGATGCTATGTTAGTAATGATAATAGAGTCGGCGTGAATAATTCAGAGCTTCGGCGAGTTGAGATTAGTGAGGAAGTAAAGACAGATTGGACTGACAAAGAGACTTTGCACCTTTTAGAAGCTCTTATGCATTATGGCGATGATTGGAAGAAGGTTGCTGAGCATGTTGGTGGCAGAAGCACGAAGGAATGTGTGGCTAGATTTGTAAAGCTTCCTTTCGGTGAGCAGTTTATGGGCCCTCCTGAATCTGCAGAAGTGGATAGTGAATCCAGGTCTGAAACTATGTATCTTCAGTCCAAGAGAAGGCGCCTCACACCCTTTGCTGATACAAGCAACCCAATTATAGCTCAGGTACTCAGTCACATTTCTTATTACATGGATGTTTTAGGACGTTAGATCAGTATTTTAGGAAACGAGAAGTGGAAAAAAGCGACGAGGGCTCGCTTCACAGAAGCGTGAAGCGAAGCGCACACTTCTTTCAAATAAAGCGGTATTTAGTATAAACATAAAAAATATTAAATAACTGGATGGAGGTAACATATTCTTAGATTAAAAAGTAAACAGATTGTCAATAATCCTCATAAGTCATAACATATAAAGCAAATACATAACCAAATCACAAAGGATCAAACTCCTATTCTTCATTGTGACATTGAATAAGAAAACACAACTTACTACAAGCAAATATAAAAGAGTAACTCAGTAACATAACAACAAAAAAACTATGAAAAAAAAATATAGAGACAGAACAGAGCAGCAGCCAGCAAAAACAAAAAAAAAAAGAAAAAAACAGAGCATCAGTCAACCAAAGAGAAGAAGAGAACTAACCTGTAGAGTGTAGCAGCAGTCGCGACAGTCGACCAAGGAGGGAAAATAATTGGAAAGATGTTGCCCAAGTATATTTACAGAAATTAAAACAAAAGAACTTACAGAAATTTTAAAAAAGAGTTTTTTGTTGCCTTTGCTTTCAGCGTGCTTCTCGCTTCGCCTACTGAAGCGCTCACTTTTTCAGCAGCGCCTAGCTTCATAGCATAAAAGCGCTGTGCTTGCGCCTCGCGCTTTAAGCGCACTTTTTGTTGCTTTTCACAACAACGCTGCATTAGATATACATGTTCTATATAGTATCGTGGACCATGAATATCAAAAAGAAAGTGGACATCAGTTAAGTGCTTGTGCATCGAATATTCCCTTGGATACTTTGCAAGATCAATGTAGTTGCTGAAGAAATTCCAATTTCTACACGATCAAGGGAACTTCGTTTCTCATCTGACTTTGAATTATTTACGTAGGTCTAGGGATGTTCTGCTGAAGCAATTCCAATTTCTACACGATCAAGGAAACTTCGCTTCTCATCTTACTTTGATATGTTTATATAGATCTAGGGCCATTCTTCTTCCTTATGACTAAGAGTCTTTTGGGCTGCTGATTTCTTGAAGTGGACAAGTTGATTAATTAGGTCTTTAGTATTATTCAAGTCAGATCTCAATTGATTACTCTTGTTTTTGAATCTTGCTGCAGGCTGCTTTCCTCTCTGCTCTTGCAGGAAAAGAGGTTGCAGAATTAGCAGCACATGCCGCTGTTACAGCTTTGTCTGAGATTGATGAAGGAATAACAACAGGGAGTCTAGCATCTCTACTCTGTGGTGCGGAGCGGCAAGGTATCAGTCACCACTTATTATTTGTTGTGGTTTTGACAGAGAAATCCTTATTACTGCAAACTTTAGACATATGGGGTGTCAGCTTCTTAAGAAAGGAGTTTGTTTAAAGTGAAATCTGATGCAACTCTTGTCTCTTGGTTTGTGCAATGTTAACTAATGTGCCTTCTTGGCTGCATTCTTTCTGGGAGTGTCTGACAACAACTTTTGGAATGTAAAATGCTAAGGGCCATGTTTATTGACATCCTTGTTTCACGTACAATGATGTCTTCTGAAATTTTTGTCTAGCCTCTTTGTTCCAACAGGATTGGCGGGCATTAATGACCTTGATACTCAATTAACTTAAGAGTGATTAGACTACATGAGAACTTCATCGATAACAAGAACAAGATAAGAGGGGCTTTTGGTATTCCAATTTCGAGTGTTCTAATCTCGATTTACCCCCCCTCTTCCCTTTTTTTTTTGGTCTTTTTTATTTGGGCTTCACCCCAAACAGTACCTACCAAAAAGACTGGTTTATGGATTTTTCACTTGGTACTTGAATCTCCATTGCCTTTTAGCACATTTTCTCTAATTGCAAAGCTCCCTCATAGCAGAATTGTTGGCAAATGAAGCAGATCTTCGGGGAACTATGATAAAATAAAATAGTGAGAAGGATGATGAGATATTCATTTTCCAACTTTACAACAGTGACTTTCTTCTTTAAATGACACGGTCTTATACTATGCAGAATCGGATGGCAAGGATAAACTCGAAAGACCTCTTGTTGAAGCCATGGCTCAGTTTGAGAAGGAGGCACTGGACGTGGAGAGAGCCGTATCTGATGTAGCAATTGAGGTATGCTCTTACATGAAATTGAGTGGTAAATATTCCATGATTCTCTTGATGAGGTCATCAGTGCTAATCAATTTTGTGATCTTTGTACATGTTTCCTTTCTCAGACAAAGGAAATTGAGGACAGCATTGCTCATTTTGAGGAACGTGATTTACAGATGGAAAAGGAGTGGCAACAGCTGATACAACTTAAGAACCTGATCTTCATTGATCAACTTACTTTACTAGTAAATAAATCTGGTGCTCCAAAAGCTGGAGAAACCATTAGGGAGGAGGTGATAGATGTTAAGACAGAATAACAAATCCCTTTGGCATAATCTGGTCTCTTAGTTATTTGTCAAATATTAAGCAGTAGCAAATTCATATAGCAGAAGGAATTTATTTGGCTTCTAACCCCTGTGCTCTCCCTCCCAGCCCCCTATATTTCCCTGACTTACATGTTGTATTAGAACTTGTAATTTACATTTTTATTGTGTTTAATGGAAACTGTAACTGCAATACCTTTATTTCCAGTTCCTAATTGTTGGCATGCGTTTAAGGGTTATGGCATTGCAGTAAAAAGAGAGTTGATGTGGTTTTGAAAACTCTAAATTCCCCCAATAGACAATTGCTCACATGAGTTTGATCAATCACAAATATGTTGTCCAAATAAGTAGAAAGGCTCTTCTCTAACATTTCCAAATGAATCGCTACAAAAGTAGTTTTGGTGCAAGAAGATGAGTGTATGCTTCTTGTGTGGGATGGAACTGAGACTGACACTCCACCAGTTGCTAAGTCCATGCTTTTACTTGACCACCACGGTTCTGCACATTGTTGCCAGATTTTCTCCTCAGAAATTTACATTCTGGAACAACATACTATTGTATTAGAGTTGGACCAAACTTTGGTAAAATAAGCATGTGTCACTTCTCATAAATGCAACTTGTTTGTTAATTTGACATTGGCGGAGAATTAAATATATATACTCAACAAATTAAGCCAGAATGTAACAAGTAGCTGGTCAGAGGTGTACTATGTGATTTCTTTCACCACCAGAATGTAACTTCATGCTGGTCAGAGGTTTTGAGTTTCATTTTCTCCTCACAAATTTACATATATTTTCTAGCATGTCACTGCACAACCACCTCTCCTAACATTGTAGTAGTAACTACTAGTTAATTTATACCCTTTTTCTTTTCTTTCATGCATGAAAACTCGCCTCGTTAAATTCTTTTAAGTTGTTTTTCTTTCATTTTAAACCCACCATATATATTTTCATATTCTGCAACAAAATCATATCAATATACGCTCTAAGACTTGCAAGTTATATAGATAGGTCTTTTACTCCTTTTGTTTTAGTTTTAGACTTCGACAGGAGTTACGGAGTACTTCTAAACTATTCATTTTAAGAGAACTTATATTTTGTTTTTCTACAATAAAATAGTCGACCTAATTGGACTCAAGATGAGTAACGGTCTTACTAAACTAAAACAACTGTTATTGAAAATTGTTTTTATAATTTGTTCAGGAAAATTAAACAAGTCTGCTACAAGTAATTTCAATGAACTTCTTATAATTGGAAATTGTTTTTATAATTAGTTTTTTCATGATTTAAAAGTTCTTATTTTATCACAATTTTCATATATTTTAGAAATTAATATTATAAACATAACAAATATAGTAATAATTAAGAAAATTAGTAGTAAATTACAATTTATTGTAGATTCTTTTAATAAAGAGTAAAAAGTTCCATCAACATTTCTAAGGGCATAAATTGGTAGAAAATTTGAAATTTTTTCTTAATTAAAAAAAAAAAAAAGGCCAAAGAATTTTGTTCATTACAAACAGACCATAAGATTAATTAATCAACATATTTAAATGTAAAAATTCAGTTCTTGATGAAAAAAAAAAAGAAGGAAAAAACAAGAGGATTGAAATAAAAGAAAAATATGTTTGTTGACTTTATGATATATCACGCCATCTAAATTATAGAGAATTGAATGAAAAAATAAATATATATATATATATATAGTGAAAAGAACCAAAAAGAATGAATCTTTGACCAAACAATTATGCCAAATCATTAATTCTTTATACTATGAATCTTTGACCAAACAATTATGCCACATCATTAATTCTTTATACTATAAATCTATTTCCTTAGTATGCATTCCAAAATTTTCAATTCTATGCAATGTTTTGTTGTAGAATAATTATAACCTTACCTTCACTTCCATTGATTTTTGGTGTGTATACTTACTTATTTATGCCGAACTAATAAATATATAAATATTAAGTAATCTCATTTTATGCAAGTAAATAAATGACTTTTCAAAATATTTGACATTTTTCTAATTATAAATACTCAGTTCATTTGTTCATTCTATACCAATAAAACAAATTTTCTCTTCTAATCTTTTCAAGGACTTTCTCAGTCCTTGTATGCTATCTTCCGGTTCTTCACTATTTTCAGTAAGAAAAAATAATCTTTTTAATTATGTTTTCTTATGTTCTATTTATATAGATCTTTTAATTAATGTTTTTTTATAAGAGAAAAAAAGATGATTTTTGATCGTTTATTTCTTATGCTAAAAAAAAAAATTGAACAAATTTTACTCGATCTTCTTGTAATTTTTTAGTTATGGGATTTAAACATAGTTTTTTCTCTTATGTTTTCCTTCTATTTTCTTATGTTCTATCTATTTATATAGATCTTTTTATGCTTTTCTATAAGAAAAAAAAGAAGAGGATTTTTGAATGTTTAATCTAAACAAATTTTATTCTATCTTGTTGTAATTTTTTTAGTTTAAACAAAAATTTATAGCTTTTGTAAATTATCACTTAGATTGAAAGATTTTGTTTCCTTCATAATTAAGTTTATTTAATTTGATTGTAGATTTAAAATTTATTGTAAACTTTTCTAAAAAATTTGACAACTTGTAGGTAAGACCTAAAAATTATGTCCACATCAGCATCTGAGGATTCGAGTAGGAAATGGATACTTTCGAACCCGGTGATTGATAATCCGATTTATGACTTCTTCGAGGAGCCAATTCCTCATTCCTTACCGATATTCGACACTGAGGATCACACCTATACCTACCTTGTTGATGCATCAATTCTAACCAAATCAATGTTTTCTAGATTGCCCTTGTCACAGAATGATCACAACACAGAAACTCCAACTAAACTGGACTTAGATGCTGAGTTGTCACAAAATGATGATAAGATAGAGACTCCAACCAAACTCGACCTAAATGCTGCTACTGATCCCCCACTGCCAGAGGGTTCTGCTGAATTGTCACAGAATGACAAGAGCCAAAGTCCAAGCAAAAAGGACCTAGATGCTGCTGCTGCTCCCCCACTGACAAAGGGTTCTACCGCTGCCAATGACGGGTTGTCCAAGAGCGAAATTCCAAGCAAAACTGCTCCTCCTGGTGCCAATGCCGACTTGTCACAGACTGACAAGAGCGAAAGTTCAATAAAAAACAAAAATCTAAATGCTGCTGCTACTCCCACTCCCCTTGAACAAGTCATTCATCGTGTGGCTACCCAACATGTTATCGTTGTGGAAACTGGAGAGGTAATGAATGATACTATTAATTTACGTACGTCGTTAGAATGATTTTACTACAATTTGTTTTTGTTTTTTTCAGGATGTAGCTGAAAAAATCATTTCCCTTGCTAAGGATGGACCAAAGTCTGTTAACATACTGTCTGCAACCGGCAAAATAGCCAAAGTGATAATTACTAGAAGACCAGCAGAGATTGAAACACATGAGGTTTAATTAATTAATTAATTAATTCTTCCAAATGCTAGCTTTTGTTTTACTCTTATATATCCTACAAAAATTGATTACCTCTATTATTTGCCTTAGGGACTTTATAATATAGTGTCTCTATCTGGTTCCTTCAAGTCCGATGAGCTTGGCGTGACAGGTGTATTATACATATCTTCAGCAACAGATTATGGAATATCTTTTAAAGGTCGTGTGGCCGGTGCACTAACTGCTGCATCACCAGTTGAGGTTCGCCTGCATTAATTGTATTGCTCTACAACTACTTGTAGTGCTAGCTGTTGTCATTAACTCCTTCTTCTTTTTTTTAGGTTACTGTTAGGATTGTTACTTCAGAGGAATCCTAGTCGTCATCATCGATCATATCAATGCTGGAGAAATCAAATCATTGGAGAGGAGGAACGATAAATTCTATCTAGACTCTTAGTTGCTGATCACCAATCTAGTACAATTTAGTTATGATAAGCATTCAGAGGAATCATATATATTTTGTATTCAGGAATTATGTTTCATGTCTTACATTTTATATTCCCCTCTGTCAGAGCTTGTACTTTACATTTTTAATAGTGGAAACTCATAATGCAATACCTTTAATTTGTGAAGGATATTGTTTTTTTTTTTTTGCATTTTCTAGCTTCATATATCATCCATTTCTTCTGATTAATAAATAGATTGGTGTTTTCATTCTTTTTTCTTTTTCATATCGATTTCAGTGAACAAATTTTGTTCGTCACGTTAATCTGTTTCAACAACACTAAAAGTGATACATATTATTGTAGCAGTTCTTCGCATATATATATATATATATATATATATTAGAAACTCTTAATTTTTACGTACACTTCTTACCATATATTTTCTATTTATCATATATTGTAGGAGTCTTAAATTTTTCAAGATTTCAAAAATCTTATTTTATCACGATTTTTTTCATATATTTTAGGAATCAATATTGTAAATTGTAGTTTTATCTATTGTAGAAATTTTGTTGGAGTGTATAAACTTTATTCAACATTTTAAAAGATATTTATGCTTTTAATATAATATAGATAGATATATGATGAAAAGAAAATTTAAAATTTTGTTTAGTTCAAAAGAAGCCAAAGAACTTTGTTCATTACAAATAGACCATAAAATTAATGAATCAACAACTATTCAAATGCAAAAACTCACTTCTTGCTAAGATAATAAATGAAATATAAGAAAAGTATGTTTGATGGCTTTAATATAACTTCAAGATACAATATGTTACATAAAATTAAATTTGGTTTGAATCTAAAATTTTTATAGCAAAACAATTACATTAGTTTCGCTTTACTAGTATTTTTTTTTAAAAAAATTATCTTTATTATTTACATCCTAAAGATTTTAGAATTGACTCAAGATTTTATAGTAGAACAATTATAGGCTTACCTTTACCATTTATTTACTAACGAATTTAGAATAGATTCAAAATTCTATAATAGAATAATTATAACCTTGCCTTCACTTTCATTGATTTTTGGTGCGTATAAAAAGATTTACTTATTTATGCAAAATCGATAAATACATATATTTTTATTACTAAAATTTAATCAAGTATTTATATTATCACCTAATAAATAAATAACTTCCCGAAATTCTGACATATATTTGGTAATAAATAGACTTTGATTGGTCTATTATATATCTTAACTAGGTAATTTACCTGCGCTTTGCGTGGGCATAAATAATCTTTCTAA